CTTCCTGTCACAACTACAACAGAAGTACAAAAAAGCTAAATGAGTTTTCCGAACAATCTAGACTCGAATAAAATTTAGAAACAACTCAACAAATGTTTCTTTTAAAAAGTAGGTTCCACAAAGTTGAAAATCGGAGTTATTTTTATTAACCCGGTATTATGAAATAGATAAATTAATGCAATGTAAATGTTTTATACCAGATTGCCATTAAATTTATAGGGTCTATACCTACTTTTTAAAACATCAGAGAAAACGTTTTACCCTTTGCATTCAAATTATTTGTCCTCTTTTTTTATGAGCTAAATTAATAATAACGTCGAGAATACGAGGCGGCAGATTATCATGCGCCCACCAACTCATCTTTTTCGTCTAAAATAGCTTATAGCTTTAAAGTAGGGGAGAATTTGGAAGAGGACGAGCCTCCTCCCCCCCCCCCTCCCGGCCTCAGGGATTCGACCAACTTGCTGCCGAAAGAGTACTGTTGTACGATATCCATTGTCAGTCAACGGACCCTAAATTATTTCTTAAGGCGCTCGAAAAAAAAAACGCAAAAAAAACGCGAAAACGAGAAATCATACTTTGGTCGACCTAAAATAAAGTCAAATTTTTCGAAAAAAAAACTTTATCCCCCCCCCCCTCGTGAAAATCCTAACTCCGCTGCCCCTAGTAAAAAGGGTTAATGACTGACTTGGATTTTTTCCGATGAAGTTTCTGCACCCAACATACGGAGATTGGCGTAAGTGGTGGCAAAGGGTGTGTTCGTGAAGCGGCCACAAACTCGGCATTTCAATCGAAAGTGTTTCCATACCAACCGTGTGTTTCCATACCGAAGTGTTTCCATCATCAACCGTGATCGTTCGCTTTGGGCTAGATACGTCACCACTGCTCAAAAGAGTTGTAGTTTTTGTCGTCATCAAAACAAAGTAGATCTCCTTGAAAAGTAGAAAAGCTCTCAAATTGATCAATTTTCTGATGTATGGACGGCATCAACTCAATAAATTCTCTGCCAACCTGCTGCCGAAAGGGTACTGTTGTACAGTATCCATTGTCAGCCAACGGACCCTAAATTATTTCTTAAGGTACTCGAAAAAAAAACGCGAAAACGAGAAATCATACTTTGGTCGACATAAAATAAAGTCAAATTTTTCGAAAAAACTTTAACCCTTTAATTGCTTTAATTGAGTATGTCCATTAAAAAATTTTAATTGACTGCACACAAAAAAGGGCTGCATTTTGTATGCTCTTTACTAGAAAATCGACAGCATCAAAAGTTATATGCTAAATAGCTTAACAGGGTTTTTGGATGGAGACCTCTTTGAAAAACCATATCGATCTGCTTTAAAAAATTAACTATTGTACATTGTTTTGAAAAAGTTTCTATTATACATTGCAGAAATGAAGATTTCCTGAGTTTTCAACAATCAATGAGAATGTTGCTCATTGAATTTAGATATTTCGATTGAAAAAATTGATTCCAAAAATTGAAAGACAATCAAGAAGAGACAACCTTGAAAAATTGTACAATGTGGCACTGTTTGACAGTGAATTTTCACGTTTGCAATGAGATCACCACAAACCAAAAACCATTGTTTTTATTGTTTTTCATGTCTTTAGAGGCGTGTATGTGAGTGTGCGTGTGTGTGTGTATGTGCGTGTGTGTAGGTGTGTTTGTAGGTGTGTGTGTGTGTGTGTGTGTGTGTGTGTGTGTATTCTAGTTACACTAACTCAATTAACATATATTTCTAAGAAAAAAATTTCTGAGCGTAAAACTGAACAAAACAATTTTAATTCAAGTAAGTCTACTTCCAGTTTTATGGTTTCATTAGGTACTTTTCAATCAAACTTTATCAACCGATCTAATAACTATTTCAAACAGCTGCGTTTCAAATTCATCATGCCTCGATCAAAGCATCAAAAATCAATAAGCAAAAATAAACAGTCAAGCAACAATCATGCAAATTTATTCGTTATGCTCATTACTAAAAAACTGACATCATCAAAAGTTATATAACAAATAGTTAAACAGAGTTTTTGGAGACTTCTTTGAAAAACTATATCGATCTGCTTTAAGAAAGTCTCTATTGTACAATATTTTAAAAAAAGTTCTATTGTACATTGCAGAAATCAGGATTTCTTGAGTTTTCAACAATCAACGAAAAAGTTGCTCATTGACTTTACGAATTTCGATTGAAAAAACTGATTCCAAAAAACGAAAGACAATAAAGAAGAGACATCTTGAAACTTCGTACAAGGCGGCACTATTTGACATTGAACTTTCAAGCTTGCAATGAGATCACCTTATTTTATTTTTTTAAATTGTTTTTCATGTCTTTAGAGGCGTGTATGTGAGTGTGTGTGTGTGTGTGTTTTTGTGTGCGTAAAAGTTTCTATGTGTTTAGAAGTATGCGTGTGGGTTCATTAGCTGGTCGCTGGTTAACACATTTCTTACTAGATTACCAAAGAGAAATTTTTGGCTGAGAAATCATTAACAAAGGTCGAGCAAAGCCCTCCGAGTTATTCTAGTTACACTAACTCAATTAACATATATTTCCGAGAAAAAATATTCCTGAGAGTAAAATTGAACAAAATTAATTTTAATTCAAGTAAGTCTACATTCAGTTTTATAGTTTCATTACGTACTTTTCAATTAAATTTTATCAACCGATCGATCTAATGATTATTTTAAACAGCTGCGTTTGAAACTTCGGCAGAGAAACTAACAGTCGAGCAACAATCATCCAAATTTATTCCCTCATTTAACTTCACTATAGAGAATTTGGAAAAAAAAACGAAGAGTTTATTTTTGTGTCAAAAACCTCATAACTGACTTTTGTTGCTTGCTATTCCATCTCATGTCATGAAATCAAGTTTGGTTTTTTGCTAATAATTTCCATTTGCAATCCTTACTATTTAACAACAAAAAGTAGTGAGTCGACGTTTGAAATTTTTTCTACAATGGTTAATGCGGAGTAGACCACACCGCGCTATTTGATCAGCAATTGGCTATCAGTTCCGGGCAAGAATCAATCTATGTTAAATATCGCTATAAGAAAAATGAGACTTCATGAAGTCCTTCTCCTGGTCTAAAGAGTGGCTGCCCATTTTTTTCTCATCATCAATCTTGACAAAACGACGAGTCAGTTTTTATTTGTGACGGACCACTAGACATTATGTGTATCCGAGTGGTAGCCAGTTTGGTAGCCAGTTTGGCTGAAAGATATTTGGCTTCTATGTCCCAGAAGTTGTCCCTCCCTGTAATCGGCGGATTCCAACTCCCATTCACACTTGTTGTACTCTATTATAGAAGAAAATCATTGCCGTCAGATTTCTGTAAGAAATTTACAGAGACATTTTTTGCGCCACTCAATGAAAAAAAAACGGACTCCTTTCAAATAACGGAAAGCAACAATTTTCCCTAGCAGCTCTAGCTTCGCAATCAACTTTAGTTTCCGCATCCTGATTGCCAATTAAGTTTCTAGGGCTCATCTATCTTCACAATACACGTTGAACAATTGAGAAACAAACAATTAATTTTTTACCACAGTTTTATCAATGGGTTTGGAAAGATGCCTCGTTCTGCTATCACAGAGTGGCGCGCTACATTCGGCTACAGATACGATCAACAGGGGAGCATTCAATCAAGTCCTCGTTAGTCGCTGGAGCCATCCCATTCTGTCTCTCTGCCGATCTGCAACTCTTGCGCGTACGAAAGAGAGCAACTAGCATCAAAAACAACCAATACAAAAAACCCAACTATTCGTGACTCAAAACCCCAGTTCACCTGAAGAGTTACTAGACAATCAGGAAAAGACTAAGAATAGTACAACCCGGCTAACCATTGATTTATTACTCTCAACAACAAAACCAGCCATATTGCGCAGAGCTTAACCTTTCGAGTTCTTGGTCAGGATAACCAATGGCGCTTTCAGTTGAAGCAGTTTAGACCCATAGACTTACATTTTCAAAATTCTTCTTTATTTCAAAACATAACTGAACAAAAATTGAAAAGCTCCAAAGTCATCGCACTGCCCACGCCAGATAAAATTTATAAATTCTTTAAATCATACAAGTCAATATCGCTTATTGTTCCGACTTTCGATACGAAAGTAACGGAATGTTTGTGCTCGGGGTGGGTTTTTTTTTCTTCAGACAAATTTCTACTTCTTAACTAGCCATTTTTGACGGAAATTTTTTATATCATTCGAAAGCTATTGTTGTCCTGAGCTTAAATTTGAAAAGATATTTCACCTGTGATTATTTTTCGTAAAGTTATGAGGGTTTAAAGATTGCCATTTTGGCCATTTTGACCAATTTGGGACAATTAACGCGCGATTTAATTCGCGCTATTAACGCGTAAGCGGATATTTAATTGAAAAGATTTAATTGAAAAGATATTTAAGCGGATATTGAAAGAAGCTTATTTGCCATAATTGATTTGTTACAAGGAGCGAAATCTATTGTTTTGTACTTTATATGGCGTGTGGGGGGATGATTTTCATAGAAAAATTTTCAAATTTTAGAAAAAAGTTTTTCATTTTATTTAATTTAATTTAATATTTTTATGTCATTACTGCTCCATAAACCTTAAAAGACCGTCGGAACATTCAGGGCTTCGCCCTGATACGAGCAGTCTTGTTTGTCTTGAGATTGAAATTTTAGATTGTCTGCTTAGTCCAATTTTCCCAAACTACTCCCAAATGCCGGATATTAACCAATGTGGTTTAATTTAAAGACAAAACGTTTTGACGTATGTTTTGACATTGCTTACAGTATACTCCGGTCCTGTTCGAGATGTTTTAAAAACTTGCCTACGGTACGTTTCGATTACTTTTGAGCTCTGTTTCGACCGTGCTTGAGCCAGGTTTTGACCGTGCTCGAGGAATGTTTTGAGTTTGCACCCGAACAAAATCCCTTTATCCTGTAGCCATTTATCGTTCGAGTGCTTACATAAAATGTGCACCTCCACCAGGGAAAACTTCTTCGACCAATAGTTTCGATCCTTTAGAAGTAAACACAGACTTCGTTCTGGTTTATAACCTGAGATGAAAGCTGAGAGATTGTCTGTTCTTTTTTAAAATTATATGGCAATCAAAATCTGTCGTTGGAAAACTTGTATAGACATTTGTGTTGTAATCTCATGAAAAAAGACTCTAAAAATGCTTCATTTCCCTTAATGTTTTACAAAAATGATTATTTTTCAATAGTATGAAAATTTATACTGAAAAAAACTTTCTCGTAAAATCGTAAGCAAGTTAAATCTAGTAATTTTTGGATATTGAATTACTAATTTCTTTTTAAATTTCGTTTAGTTTTCGGGGTCACTGAGCCCAATTTTGGAAGGGTGAGGGTCAATTAAGACTTTCTTCTTATTTCTTCTCATCGGTCGTTGTCTGTGAAGCGAGATCTCCGAGTCAACTCGTGAACTCATTGTCGACTTCAGTCGGTTTTTGAGGTATTCGAAGTCCGATTGATGCGAGTCGGCTTCGATTTCTCGGCCACTTCGGGTTCGAGCTGAGACATTGCGACTCAGTTTTGCTGAATTCTGAGACTCTGAGCTGCCTGAAAATATTTATTCCTTACAGAGATTAGGAGCTGTCACAATATATCTGAGCTGTCACAGAATCCGAAAAAAAATGTTGAAAATCATCTAACTAAAACTAAAAAATAATTAAGCTCTGCTCAATTGAAGAATGGTTTTAACTGATATTTAAAACATGAGAATTAATTTGACATACAGTGCTGATTTAAATTAACCGGAGAAAACGCGTTAAACTTGAAAATTAAAACCCGTTTTTCTCAAATTGGGCTGAGTTTAGGTGAAAATTTATGAATACAAAACTTGCTTAGAATTTTAGCAGAATTAATATGGTGTAATTTATTTTGCGAAATTCGGGTCCGAAATTTTACCCCAAAAATGGGTCATTTTGGCTTTTCTTAGTTCATTAAAAATTACGCCAAAAATACCTAGTCGATCACAGACATAATCATATCCAAGTGAGCCAATTACGTAGCCCAACAAATTTTATGCAAGGTATTTTCTGCAAAAAAGAATTGCAAATTGTTCCAAAATTGTTTTTAAATAAAAAGTTGGCATTTTATATAGTAAAAACGACCTTTTTGTCTATCAAACAAAAATAAATTAACTTATACAATATTTTGGAGATTATACCCTTCTTAAAGTTTGTTGGGCTACGTAAGTGGCTCACTTTGATATAATCATGTCTGTGATCGACTGGGTAATTTCAGCGTAATTTTTGATAAACTAAGAAAAGCCAAAATGACCCATTTTTGGGGTAAAATTTCGGGCCCGATTTTCGCAAAATTAATTACACCATATTAATTCTGCTAAAATTCTAAGCAAGTTTTGTCTCCATACGTTTTCACCTAAACTCAACCCAATTTTAGAAAAACGGGTTTTAAATTTCAAGTTTAACGCGTTTTGTCCCGTTAATTTAAATCAGCACTGTATAGCTTTTAACAAATTTAACGGACAAATTTTGAAATAATTCTTGATCTTCAGACGGTGAAATCGCGTTCAAACTGCAATCAAATTTTCAAAACCGCATTTGAACTGACAAAAGAGCAATGCAAAATTATTCAGTTTTTTTTTGGAAAATTTCATTTTTGCCTTATTCAAGAGCACAATTGAAAAAACTTTTTCATTTACAACGATTTGCCATGGAATTTTTCAAAGCAAAAAAAAACATAAAATGCCGACACAAAGGCAAACACAAAACTTCACAGAAGTATGTCGATTTAATTTAAATTTGAAGGTCAAAGTTAATTCAGAAACTTAAAAAATTGTCCAATAAATTTGTTAAAAGCTATAAAACAGTGCTGATTTAAATTATCCGGACAAAAGAACAAAACTTGAATTTTCAAACACGTTTGTCTCAAATTGGGTTAAAAATAGACAATAAGTGAAGAAAACAAAAGTTGCTTAGAATTTCACCAGAAATAATATAATACAATTATTTCTGCGAAATTCTAAACCTAATTTTTACCCCACAAATAGATCGTTTTAGCTTTTTTTAATTAATCAAAGTTTACTCTGAAACTACTTTGTTGATTGATGAGCAATATATATCACAAGAAGCCTCTTACACAGCCCAAAAAAGCTCCAGAGAGGATAAAAACTCCAAAAATTTGAGTAAATTGTATAAAATTTGTTTTTAAGCAAAGGTTTTGGGTTTTGTATAGTAAAAATCACATTACCTGACTATCAAGCTAAATTATTTTCTCTTACACAGGTTTTTGGATATTTAATTCTTCTAGATTTTTGTTGGGCTGTGATATAGATTACTCATCAAATAACAAAGCAGCTTCAGCGTAATTTTTGATTAATTGAAAAAAGCCAAAATGACCCATTTTGAGGTAAAATTTTGGTTGAGAATTTCGGTAAAAAAATTGTACCACATTACTTCTGATTAAATTCTAAGCACTTTTGGTCTAATTTTAACCCAAACTGAGAAAAACGCGTTTGCAAATTCAAATTTTGTTAGTTTTGTCCGGATAATTTAAATCAGAACTATTTTTATAGAAAATTTTTGCTTTGAATTTCTCGCTTTGAGAATTTAATTTGATGTGTGCTCTCTTCTCAAAAACACGAAATCAAGTTTAAAAAATTTTTAGATTCATCAGACCGATGAATTATGACGGGATGTTTTTGGTTAAAATGTATATGATTTTGATATAAGAAGTTAATTTTTTTCGTTTCCTCAAATGCTCACTCGTGATTTTTGGGTAGTCAGAATCCGTAAGATTTGTTTGACTTTCATCGCGCTGTGGTTTCCTTTGAGACTTGGAATCATCTTCAATCGGTTTGAATTTCTGGTGGACAGAAACATTTTCCTTGATTTCAATTGGTTTAGTGGATTCGATACTGTATGCAATAGAACTTTCCTCGTATGTCTGACAGCTTTTTGAATATCTCGTCTCATCGGCAACACTAATTTTCCGCTCCTGAAAGGCGGGTGGTTCATTTACAATAGGTTTTACAATGTCTTTTTTCGCATCACTAATCAACGGTGATTTTTCTGTGACTTTGTTGATTGAATCTTCGTTTTCAGGATCAGATGACAAGTAGTCTTCCAGTTCAGAGTTTAATCGAAACTTGTGAGCTAAAAAATATATAATTTTTCCGATTTACTTGATTTCACGGCCAAATCTCTAAAGTTTTGAGTAACCCAAAATTGTATTCCCTACAGGATATTTTTTCAAAGAATGTTTTCGCACTTCTTACGAGTTCTTGGCAAAATAGTTTTGCTAACCACTTATGAAGTTAAGTCTGTCTTTGTTTATTTCTGCTTCTCGTGGATAAGTTCGCCAGTAGTTTTGATCTATGATTACAATGTCAGCATTGCCTGTAGAAGAATCTTGCCTATCTTCTTCTTCCGAGTCCGATTCCTTCTCAAGTGCCTATAAAAAAAGCAGAAATATAACCTTAAAAAATAACACTGGAGTTTGAACCCAGGCATCCTGATGAAAAGAAACTTGCTTTTATCACAAAAACACTTCGGTTATTGATCAATTTCTAGCATCTTGTAATTGAGAAACTAAACTTCCTATTATTTGAAAACATACTTGCAATAAAAATGAGAAATTTAGAAAATATACCTGGTATCGATCCGTATCTCGTTCCACGATGCTTCTTAAATACATGCCTAGAGGTTGCGCCGATGGTGCTGATGATTTTTTCTCGACATGGGATGATATCGTGTTTATTTCATGCATTGGGTAGTCTTTCGTGGAAGCCAATGGGTCTTTGAAGTGTGATGCAAACAATCCGTTGGAGTAGACGAAAGCTGTTTCACTCGCAGGATTAGAAATGACAGATGCTTTCCGACCCAGAAGGTATTTTCTGCTTCTAGAATAAAAAACACAAAAAAGTTTTAAAAAAATCACATACTAACATTTTATGGTCTAATAAAAATAAACAAAGTATTTAATTTAGGGGCGGCCACTTCTTTTTGTTGGTGTAATCTTTGATACGGTAATCTCTTAGGTTGTAAAATATTGTCTTAACCATCTAAAATTGTGCGAAAAATGCGGACCTCAAGCCACGGATATTTTTTGATGACGGCAGAGCCATTTATCAATTTATCAGTGCTCTACGGCTGAACACTATTGTGACTAGTTTGCTAGCCTTTGTATTACTTATCTACTGTAAAACCGTGCAAACTTGTCAGGTCGATACTTCAACTTTTGTCTGCTGATTGAGATAGGACTTTTATTAGCAAAAACTGAATACCGGTACTCAAGATTCAATCGAGCCCAAAACTGAACTACAATACTGAAATTTGAAACCTCAATACTGCTCCAAAAACTTGCAAAATCAAAATGGCACATACTTTTCTCGTCTTGCCATCCTATATTTCAGAGCAAACTTTTTTTAAGCTTTGCGACAGGAACAAAATCCATCTTCCAGCAAGAGCAGGCAATGAACCTGGGTATGAGTGTTTAATGTGGTCAATCTGTGAGAGGCTACCTATTGGATGTCAATCATTTTAGTTGCTGCAATTTTCATGCTGTGAGAGTTTGTTCTATCACCAGGTACCTACCTCTCATAACATATCCAAAATTGCTAATCAAGAACCCACTAAACAATCCCCATAAACCACTACATCCCATGATCTCCCAACAACACCAACATATAGTCAGACAAATCAATCCCGATCATCTACACGCATTGCATTTGCAGAAAATCCCTATACATTTGAAGAAAGACACGCATCATTATCCACAACTTTAAAACCAGCTATTCTCCAAGCACCCCTAAATGAACCACAATACGAACCAACATATAACATCTACCCATCACTTCAACAAGCTTTGAACAGATCTAGTCATCCTAGCCAAAACCAAAATCTAATATCTACAAAAGATAGACAAATTATTTACCCTCGAAGAAATCGAAATCTTGCAACATCTAAAGTTCTTTTTAATACACCTTCATCACCATCTTCGACCCCTTTGGATTTTTCTAGTAACACAATCTAAAGTACCCCCCCATCACTACAGACAATTTCCCATTATAATACCCCAAGAATTCCATCAGACTGATTAGGTTCAACACCGACCTCCGAACAAAATCGTGAAAATCCTATTAATCCTCCCACTTCAACACAACGTCTTCCACATTGGATGACACAAGTATGTTCCCAAGGCGAACCAACTTTAGTACGCGAACTCACAGATATTTCATCAGACATCTCCTTATCATTACCAGAAACCCCATCATCTCCATCAACTCCTTCAATAACAAGTCAAACACCAATCACTACGCTCCCTCTAAATTTCTCTACTAAATTAGACGATCAATATCGAGAAGTTCTAACCATTAATATACCTTTACATTTAGATTGGAAAACATTTGTAGCATCCGCTAACCTATATGGGTAAATATTTTGACCCATAATTTGGCACTAAACCGATTAAAATACAAACAAGACATCCACAAAGATATACAAATCCTTACTCAAGATAAATTAACACTTAAATTCGAAATAACCGTAAAACTACATTATTTAGTTTATCAACCACTACCATTAACTCCACCAAATATAACCGTTCAATCCTTGCCACCTACATTTATCACAACAGAATTTATCGAAAAAAATACGATAGATGTACAAACAAAAAAAAACAATAGGCTACATAACATTCAACAATCCATATTCAGGATTATCATACACATGTACCTTTTAATAGTTTTCTTCCTCAAAACACTTTCCCCCTTGTGCTTTTAGAACCCACGTTTCATCAAAATCCTTTTTTTTGAACAGGACCACAAGACCTCCTGGTAACACATTAAGATTGTGAAGAAAACCAACAAAAAAATTTAAAAAATATGCAATTATTCAAGTAACACAATGTGAACGTTAAACACAAGACATTATGTCAAAAAACATAGTAGCAACATTTTACTCAAAAGCACGATGTACAACACTAGCAGGATATGAATTTACAGCGAATTTCTCAGAAAATAAAGAACAATGTTCACAAGTCTCAAATGCAAATAAAAATAGACTAGATCATGAACCTTTCTAACAAAGCAACATCGAAAGACTATTACATCTCAGCCCTGACGGTTGTAAAAACGAACTTATACGATTAACAATCACATCAAACAAAAGAATAACCTGAAAATTGGTACACTTTCAAGTTTTTCCAGACTCTGCACATCAATCCGAACTTGAAAGACACCAAGGTCATATAAAACTTTGAAGGTTGCATCAAAACCTTGAAGGTTGCAAAAATGAAGTACAACAAATTAACCACAAATAAAGGCACAAATTGTAAAATAGTAAATTTTTAAGTCTTACCAGACTCAGGCAGAGCTTGAACGACACCAAGGTCATTTTGAGTTAGACGACCAGTATCCGTACCACGGCGCCCGCGGACGTTTAACTTATGGTTTACGTAACAAAAATTGGATACCACACAACGGAATCAATAATCCCTCGAACTGTGAAGCTGACCAAAAAAACAAAGGCTACCAAGAAATAATGTTTTTCGATTAGAAACTTCAATTAGAACAAGTAGAACTAATCCGTGATTTAAGAGACAACACTATACTGTATCAAAGAATACGCTTACCTTGTAAAAATGATTCAGGATACTGTGATCCTACCACTCGAATGCAGGCAACCATTGTTTGGTTGCCTGAAGGCACATGTACTACATTTGAAGTTGCTAAAAACCACGCAAGATCAATAAAATTTCACCAAAAATGTTTTATTGAATCAATTCTTTTTGAAAGAGTCAACCCTGATGGAATTTCATCCAATAAGCAAAATTATAACAACATTAAGGATATTGAAATCGAATTAACGCGTTTTGAAATTTACCCTGAAACAGAAGTAGCTTGTAAATACCCAAAACCCTTTTGCGAAACACAATATTCAGAAAACCTTGTCGAATACGAAAAAGGTTTCAACATGAAAACAGGAAAATTGGTTGATGACCCAGCACACCCATATCGAAACTGCAAAGATGAAAAATCTTATGTCCTAGTAAAATTTTATAAAAACACAGTAAATCTTGGCGGAAAACTTCGCCCAGAAGATAAAGATAGTACAAGATTAAAAGAACTCTCAATTATGATTAACCAATTTTTTGGTGCAATCCCCTGTAATATACATCTCGATATGAAATTAGACTATACAATAAGTCAAATTGTTCAAGAAGTGTCACTCTCTGAAATAGAAACACTTCATCGCCTATGTGAACTCGAACGTACACAAATAATACAATCAGTCGCTGTAGCCGTAATAAAAATACCCTTTTTAGGATATTTATTATCAGGCAAAAGTTCTAATTTCATCAAATATGAAGGAAATAACAGTTGGTATTACAAATGCACAAAACAATTTCACCGCTATATGGTTTCGAAGATAAAAGATGTTACAAACGGATCCCTATTTTTTATAAAACTAAATTATGTTTTGTAAAAACACTGTCAGGACGCACATATTTTTGGAATACATCTGTCCCATTTGGATCGGAAAAAAGCCACATTGTGGTACAGCTAAGCCCTAACGAAGATAAATATTATCTTCTTACCCCATACCTTACATTAATGTCACCATTAAGGAAAGTTTCCACCAGAAGTATACGCGCTCTAGGTCGCAACCCTAACGTAGACTTTTAATCAATAGGTATTTATTCTAGATCAGGTTTTGGATTTCTCTTCTCACTATTAAAAGGAATCTATAACACATGTGCAAAACACATACACGTAAATAAACAAGCCAGTGTAGCACGCATTTTTTTGCGGGATTTTTTGGATTATTCTCAACCTCAATTAACAAAGTTCTCCTTGACGCTCAAATTAGCGAATACAATAAAAAATTATCTAAAACACCAAATGAATATGACACTCCACGAGACAATATAAATCCAACACCTACAGGACCACCAACTTTATACAGTCTACAACATAATCAACCTTTATCTTTAGTCCCATGAAATTATAGAAACACACTAGCAACCATGGAACATACCTCTCAAGGTAATAGCATCCCACGAAATTCAAACTTCCATATAGCACTCCACCAGTCAAACATCGACGAAACTTATGAGCAAATTGTAGAACAACAACACACAGTAAATTTTCGTTCTCAAAACAACCATCTTTTTGGCACACGATGAGCCGACAAACTAGATCCCTTAACCGTTCCCTTTCTTACCCATCCAACCTCCAACGCCAACCCTCCCGCATTTCACTTTCAGACCCTTTTCTCCCCTGACCCGTTTTTCTTCTAACTCACCACGCATGGATTCAGAGGAGTCAACACAAACAGTGTTTAATACAATCTCTAATTTTAATAACTCAGAAGTAGAAACTCCCGACAAATTACTCGACTCAGAACCCAGCCCGTCCAATTTTTCGCAACATCATTTACAGCGCGTTACACCCCAGATTCCCAATGAAACCTCTCCCTCCCCCTCTTCATACGCTGATGCTACCTCCTCTTCCTCTCCATCCCCCTCTTCATATACTGATGCTACATATCCTTTCTCCGATGTCAAGCGACTAACCCGATGCACCTAGCCCCATGACAGATAATCAATTAGAACATGAATTAGATAAATTTATAACACAACAACAACACCTTCATAACACAAAAAGTGCCTTGGCGATTCACCAACTAAGACACTCTACATCAAAATCCTAGTCCACAATTCAGTTCACTCAGTCAATACAGCACCCACCAGAGGACCTAGAGTTTTTAAACGAAAACAACCTAATCCTACACCCCAAATACTCATTGGCCGTTCTCGATCATCCCGACTCTACGCCCTTCACCCATGACACACTAGCAATAACGAATTTTTAGTTCATAACTTACCACTTTTCCCCCAATATACATACTATGCGACCAATAACGACAACCAACCGAACTTGTTCGTTGATGAACATTGCCTGTTTCCCACACTCTCTTGGACTTCATACTATCGTTTCACTGAACCATTAGCCCTCTCCTTAAACAACAACCACGAAGACAATGAACAAGGCCAATCTCGTCTTCATAAAATAACAACTGCACTTCACGAAAAACATTTTACCACAATCGGACTAAACCAAACTCTCAATCGATTCATAGCAAAACGCGCTAACCGATTCTCAATTAATCACTATGATCATGCAATAACCCGATGTATGGAAGACACCCCGAATGAGGACAATGCCAATGCTAACCCTCAAACGACAGAAAGATTTTTCATTGGATCTGAATATGTCTTTCACATAGATAGTACTAACACAAAATTCGAAAAAAATATATTTATACCGCACTATTAAACACCAGAGCATACGAATCATACTTTACCAAATTTAATCACTTTCATTTCCTTACTTCTAAGAAACGCGACCTACACTGCTCGCATGAGACAATGTTAAAAACGAAACTAACACATACATACACTTAATATAAACTTATACAACATTATTACACAACTGACATACCAACACATAACCCACAATATTGTTTTATGTTCATAAATTCAAAGTACACTTCACCATTGTTCTTAACTTTAACTTTCTGCATAAATTCGACTAATCTCCGCGGCATCCTCCGTAACTATGATCCCGTTAGACAGATGTATATATTTTGCCCACTTACTAACTCCTTCCTCATTGATGAGGCTCGCCCACTAGTTGTCCCCCAAGAATATATACAGCCCATTGAAATCACCATACTAGAATATATTCACAACACTTAATTCAATCACAAATTGGATAATTTAATTCAGAACACAAAACACGAATTCTCACTACACACCAAAAAAAAAAAAGATCATCAGGGCGCTGGAGCATCTCTGGCCTCTGTTTCAAACTAAAAACATAATCAACATGCTTGCGAAATTTATCGTAGAATCAGACACAATTCGAACTGACTTTCCCCATGGATTTTTTCCAGATGAAGAACCTTCGTAACTATGAATATAAATGCTTAAACTAACAATTGAAACAAAACACTTACCGTTCTTTATGAATTTTTCATTTTTTTAAAGATTGTATCAATCATGCACCTAAAAAAAACTAAATAAAAATTCACAAATTTTGTTTCTAAGCTTTTTAAATTTCTATTTAACAAGGAAAATAAATTAATAAACGCAGTAAAATTCAATACAAAAGCAGTAAATTGATAAATCTGCAGTAAAAAATCTAACAATTCAGGCAGTAAATTATCAAATTTGAAAAAATGCAGGAAACTAACCTTTTTATGTGAGCTTCTTTTTAGTCGCTCTCAATTCACACGTTCTTTCCACCAAACTTGCAAAACTCGCTCAAGTAAAATTGTTAGATTAATTAATTTCAAATTTCAAATCTCACTGATACCAACTCTAACTTATACTCACGCGTTTCAAACTTGCTTTTAACCCGTTTGGAAGGAATTATAAGGGTAAGCTTCAGCTAAGAAACACAGCTTACTAACGCCACAAAACCAACAGCATGAATAAGAAAGTCGCACGATACCCAGACCGGATTAAAACCAGATTAAAACTGGATAAAATAATTTTTTGAAACCCCTTTTCAAGGTTTACTGAAACCCAATGAAACACAAAAATGTAAGAAAAACCCAAAACACAATTATCTACTTTTGAGAAAAGGACACAACCAAAACGAAAAAGAGAAAAACACCCGATAAAAAAGAACAAAAAGTTGAAGACAAAAAGAGACTCTGCCCAAAGAGACGCTAAAGTTATACTCCCTCATTGGCCTCACCAACAAGTAAGACGTCCTGAGCATGCTCTATAGCCGGCCTAACCCACCATGCTACAGCCAAGTTTATGAGCCACACTCTATTGTTGACGAAACTTGGTATAGGGTGAGCGACTCTTTAAAATAACCGAACTAAATAAAAACGCTTATGCGAAAACAACTAATAGAACATCATAAGTAAAATTAATCTCACTAACAAGATGTAGATATAAAAATGAAACATAAAAAAATGCTTAGAGCAAACGGAACGAGCAGTAAAGGATTTGAAAATTCGATGACATTCCAACTCTGGAATGGCAAATCTATTGGTGTGTTGCCGTAGTCACAACCCTCGCAGGATTTTAAGTATGGACTCAGCATCGCAGCAAGGAAACCATTGAAAAAGACCAATGACCATCTCGATGAACAACTCGAATATAACTTAGAAGACAGTTGTTCTCCTTTGACAAATACCATAAACCTCCAGATACCAGTATACACTAGATCTATTGAGACTTGGAGATATAAGAGTAAGATTAAGATTGGTATTAGACTAAGAAGTTGCACGAATCTATCCGTCCGAAAATAAGATGACGAACAGGCGGTGTACGAACAGGCGGTGTACGAACAGGCGGTGTACCTTTTCTGAAATTACTCTAAGAGACAACGAATTCTGACTTAAACTCAATAGGTCAAGCACAGTCGAAATACAGGCCGAGCAAAACCTGAGTTTTCTCCAAGTTTTTTTCAATGATATATATTATTTATCAGTTGGAAACAGAGCAAAAAAACTGCTGGAAGTTCGATGCAGGAAATTCGTATTTTACAGACTCCTTTGGTTATTTTAGTTTCAAGCGTCATCACAAAAAAAAACACTGAAAATCATACGATCGTTTTTTGTGAATTCACTCATGTTATTTGATAGTTGAGAAAGGCAACACATATCGAGCACAGTCAAAACATACACGTTTTTGGTCGGAAAAGTTGAAAGTTAGTCGATCACGATCGAGACATAGGTCGAATTTATTCGAACCAAAAGTTGAGCACAGTCAAAACACAAGTTGAACACAATTTGAGCATATTTCGGCTAAGAATGTCGAGCACAGTCGAAACATTGGTCGAGCACAGTCAAAATCTAGGTCGAGCACAATCGAAACATAGGTCGAGGGCAGTCGAAACAAAGGCCGAGGGCAGTCGAAACATCCCATTCTTAGTCACGCCGCCTGAAACGATTCGGAGATGGGTCAAATATATTTTGGATTTTTTTTTCTGTCGAGACATACCCATTTTTGTTCGAGAAAATCGAAACATATCTATGCGGGTTAGATCAAACAAACCTTTTAGAATTGTCGTTGGACACAATCAAGAAAATCGAAAGCTATCGAATTTTGGTCGAAAAATTCGAAACATATCTGAACAGGGTCGAACAAATTCGAACACTTAATTGTTTGGTCTAGAAAGTCTATACATGCCGAAATTTGGAGAAGAAATTCGAAACATACCAAAAAATGGTCGAGACGGTCGAAACAAATCGTGCACCTCGACCCGTAATGGACCGTTTATGAGGTTGAGTTAAAGGCCATTGACCAAGATTAGTGGCTGGTTATAAAGTGACAACTGCCAGGCGTATAGCTTTTAAGAGCAAGGTTCGTACGCAGGGCTGAAAAATAAGTTTCCCTTGGTTTTTCATTTCAAAATTTGTAAGGTAACCTGAGCTTAGGTGGGTGGTAGGAAGTGTACACAAGTGCAATGAGGGCAATGCAGAGAATCACAGCGAAGAAGAAGAAGGCGGCTGCAAAGAGGGAGCTGAGCAGTGCCTCACACACCCCCACGTCACTCAACGATCTCGATGACCCTTCCCCCTCCCCTCCTCCTCCAGTTTCCCCTCCCTCTTCCCTGGTCCAATCACAGAGCCACATCGGTAAAGACTGACAGGTTTTCGAATTCTGACGAGATTCTTTCGCACGTTAGTAACGAAAAATTTTAGCAATCTTAGAAAATCTGCTGTGAACAGTTGAGGCAGAACGTTTTATAGTGAACTTGTATTTTTGAAATTGTTAACAAACACTAGAAAAAATAGATAATCTGATTCTATAGTTTCTGTGGACTCGATTCATTCCAGCATAACCACAATAAAAGTGTAGTAAAATTCCATTTAGATTAAAAATTTGTAGAATTCAAAAAAAGCAATTTTTTCTTGTTCAAAGCAACTATACGAGAGTATTAAACGAATTAGATGTATACTAAAACAACTGTTTTTAATATCAGAATAGAGGCTGCGGTACTTGTCAAAAATTGTTCAATATTTGTCAGTAGTCGCTTGAATGAAACTGTTTCAGAAAATTAAATATCGGTTATACAGAGCAAAAGACAAAAACGGTTAAGATAAGTGCGAGCACTTCAGTTTTTTATCCTTCATAAATAACAAGGATTAGTTTCAAAATGAGAAATTAAAATTTTAAATCCAAAGCAATGCGATGGAAAACTAAATGTGTTTTTATCACCAGTTTTTTTGCGCATCCAGTGTTGGATGTGATAAGCGCAGTTTACGAAGACAAACACTTGAGTTTTTTTACAAGTTAAACGTTGAATTTTTTTCCACAAACTAAAAACAGCATCAGAATCAAACCAACAGTAAAGTAATACACATGCAAAACAGAAACAAAAGCATAACATTCTATTGTTTTCAGAAGCAAAAGTGTCAGTTTGACACAAAAAAAACGAAGTATCGAAGCAACATTTTGAAATAGTTTTCACTGTTTTCTCAAGTATGTTGAAGTAAGGTAATAAAAAAAACGAAGTACTTCGAAGATACTATTCTTTCGGATGAGTTATAAGTAAGCCAAAAACAACCAGTTGCTGTGCAAATATTAGATTGTTCCGAACACTATGAATGAATTTTCAAAAATCAAAAATTAAGGGATTTTTTTTTTAGAAAAATCGAAGGAAACGCAAAAGTAATTTAATCAAAAATATATATATTTTTAAAATTTTCTCTTAATTTCTAAAAAACTTAATTGACCACCGGTAAGTGGGAAACGAAACTGTAGTCACAAAGCAAATTAAGCCAGAAAGTTTTGAAGCTCACTGTTTCTACGACATATGTCTGCAGAAACATACAAAATTATAAGAGAAAATTTTCTCAATTTTTGCAGTTTGAGGTGGCCTTACTCATACACCATAAGTCAAGGCCGTTCAACTGAAACAAAACAGTAGAAAATACTCGAATCATTAAAAGTCGGAGTTGATAAATGTATAAATTAGAGAGTTTTTTCAAATATAGTGAAACCAGTTTAAGTTTAGTAGAAAAACGCTGATCTGGAACATAAGTCACATCAACTTGTAACAGATAATATGGATGATATGTGAAAAAAAAACAACTGAATAGTAGCCAAAAACTTAAGGATGAAATCACAAATCGAGAAAACTTTACTTTATGAAAAAAAACTTGAAAACATTACTTACTACAAGAAATGAGCTCTGTAGTTTTGATTGAGCTTTCAAGGAATTGAGCAGATCACGTGAAAACAACTCTAAAAAAACTGTATGTGATGAAAAATTTTCAATTTCCATTTACAAAAACAACTGCTATCGCAAGCGAAAAAAAAAACAATAGTAAAAGTGCAAAACAACGAATCTGAGCGCGACCAATTTTTGTGACTTTCAAGATTTTCTATTACTAACATTTTTTTGGCTAAAAAATCCAATTAGAGAAAACTAGGTCAATCGGTTAACTTTTTTTTCAGGGAAAATCTTAAACTTGAAATCCACTTTAAAATTTCAAAATTGCTCGTGCTGTTTCTTTGCAACAAATGCATTTTCGTTATTGGAAACAATATATTTGTTATCAGCAGCTTAACTTGATTTGAGCATAAGTGTATTCATAAAAATCATTTGCTGTCAGGTGAGGTCACTACACAAACAAACTTAAGAATAATCATTTTTTCTTTACAAAAACAGCATATGATGGAGAGCCATAAGACTATTTACCTATCTTGTTTTTAGGCGTATCAGAGAGAAATTCACAATTCAAAAATCGGTATTTTTTGTGCTAAAAAACCTTGAGAGGACAGCCCGATTGTCTCAGAAAAGAAAAACTTACTTACCGTTTGGTATGATTAGTGATGATGGCGAAAAACTTTAAGAGAGTTAGTTTCAGCCTTACTTAAATAAAATTAATCAAAATTGTGATTTTTTCATCTGGTCATCAATATTTTGAAAACAGATATCTACAAACCGGTGGTTGAAACTATTTATTACACTGTTTTCAAAGCTGGTTGCCTTGTCTCTGAAACTGGGAAACAAACCGTTGCTTACAAATAAGAAGGGAAAAAATTCTAACTGCAATTGAGCGAATTGATGCATGCAGACTTCGTTTTCCTTAGCAATGTTTTAGCTAGACTTTCTTTGGATCAAAGTTTAGTTTTTGAAGGAAAATTCGGATTTACGTGGTATCAAGTTTTTATAAACATGTAATTGACATTCACTCCTAACAACTCCACACACAAATTTCAAAAGCTTATCAGCTTGTTTTTTTTATATTAAAATATTTAAAGTTTTCTCTTTCGTTGTTTTATCAATATCATTGGAACCTAAAATAAATCTTAGTTTTAATTATTTTGATCCCGCTAACGTCAAATTTTTAATTTTAGATTTTTGTCTTCAATTATCTCTATTTTGTCTTTTGCTTGCTATTCACAATTTTGAAAAACAACGCAGAGACATGAGCTGAACGATGCAAACATGAGCTGAGAAACGGCAAAAGCAAGCTCTGAAAATGCAAAAACAAAGTGAAAAAAGAAAAACAAAATCAGCCTTGAAAAATGACACTTTTGCTATATACTGGAATGAAACCTCCGACCTACAGATTGAGCATCTCACATCCTGGCGTCTGCTTCACGGCCAGTTGAACACTTACTAACACTAGCCACCGATAAAGTAGCTCCATTCGATTTTAAATATCCAATGCTGCGAAATTCCACAAATTAAAAAAAAAACTGATATTTTTTCTGAATTTAAGTCTGCGACATGTAGATCAGAAACATCTCCTGCTCGCTTGTGCAATACGGTTGCTTGGAATTAAACTAATGGCCAATCTGTTATCTAAAGCCGCCTGTAAAGACGTTTTTGGAACTTTTAATACAATATTGTATTGATGCGGAAGATCAAGCTTATTTTTCACAATTAAAAAAAAATTATATGAAAAAAAATTGATTTCTGTACTTAAGAAACGGGCAAACTCCTTAATTAGAAGAAAATTTTTCTACTTTTTCTTTCAATTCATATCTCCTATCTTAAATTGAGATTCGCCTGGGTATTTTCAAATTTTCAAAATTTACAAAAAAAAACTGTCAAAACAATTAGGCCTTTCGTAAACCTTCAAAAGTTTCTTTGCTTGCTTTGAAAAGCTTCTCGTGCATGAAAGATTTCCATAGTTTGTTCTTTTCGACAATGGTGAACAAAGTCCATCCGCTCTTTAATAAAACAGTGTAATTTTTTGCCACTGTTTGTTCAAATGCAGGAAAATCTTTTTGATTGATCCCCTGATCTAAAAAAAAGGGGATTGTTTTTGAAGTCATTTTTCGAAAATTGTTGCAGTAGTTTTTGAGAGAAACTAAAATGTCTGGTAGTAAAACAGTAAAATTTTTCTTCTGCGTGGCCAAAAAAAACAATTTGTAAAGAAAATTTTAAAGAAAGATATTTGTAAAGAAATTTTTAAATATTATTTTTTTTGATGAAGTTAACCTAACTTGATAAAACTGGATAAACAATTAAAACTTTCTTTCTTTTCCACGATGAAACTTGAAAAACAAATTTTAACTTACGAAAAACAGTCAAAAACTCAGACTAGACCTTTCGTATACCCTCAGATGTTGCTATACTAATAGGAATAGCCCCTCGTTTATGGAAGACTGCCACTGTTTGTTCTTTTGTTTCAACTTTTAAAACCAGTATTTGCAGGGTTCTTGACAATGGTGAACACTTCTCCAAAACAGTAAATTATCCATGAAAATAGTTTTTCCTAAGTCTATCCGCGCTTTTACAGAAAATAGTGTTGAGCCGTTAATGCAGGAAAATTTGCACACCGTATTTTTTTGGTTGTGCCTTTAATCTCAGAAATGGCAGTGTAGTTTTTGAAATCATTTTTTGAAAATTTTAGTAGTTTCTGAGAAAAATTAAAATGTTTGGTTGTAAAACAGTAAAAACTTTACCCTGCGTGGCAAAAAAAAAACAAGCAAACCAAATAGAAACTTCAACGAAATATTACATTCATCTCTTTGAAATTTTTGGATGTTTATGAAAAAAATTATGAATGATTTTTTTTCTGATGAAGTTAGCCTAATATGATAAAACTAGATTAAAAGTAAAACATTTATTCCACAGTGAAAAGTAAAAAACTATTTTTTGTGATACTTTACCTTTTAAGTTCTCGATTGTCGAGGTTGTCTTCTTTTTAAGAACAAAACGAGCTAAACATAAGAAAAAGTCAGAAGTCGCACCGGGCAAAAAATAAGTCTGAAGAAAATTGAAGATGATTTTCTGAAAAAAAAACGATTATCACAAGTTAAATAAGAAACTGAACTATATTATTAAAATATTTTAAAAATACTTGTTTCAGAAAAAGTGTTGCTTTCTGAAAAAAACTCACCTATCGAACTTCGAAGAGAAAAATAGAATGCCTTAACTCTTTTTGAGTTCCAACAAAATTGTTATTGCTACTTTTCTGATAAAGTTAACCCAATCTGGGAAAACTGGATAAATCGTTTTTTTTTTTCATTTCGCTGAGAAATCTGATAAATATAATGCGTTTTCGAAAGTAGAAGTCAATCGTATTTCATGTGACCATGACGCTTTTGACAATCGATAGTGGAGTCACGACCTATTTAAAAGTTTTTATTGCGTCCATCGAATTTTAAATTGTTGCCAATTGAATATAGACGTTAAAACAACGGCGTAATTTTACTTTGCTTACAAAAGCGCAAAAAGCAACGGTTCAGTCATTGTTCACCAGACAAATTTATTTTCATTGAGAAAAACAAACGAGTTTGCTTGAATGACACATACTGACGGTATATATGAACTTTCATAAGGTCAGTAAATTTTTTATTGTTAAAACTATAATAAAAATCTTGCTATCTAGTTACAAAAAAAAAATTAAGCAACAAATGTACTGTCTAGATGGCTGAGGCAAAAGCTACCTAAAATTTTGATTCAGCTGAGAAATATAGACTCCATTTTCGAAATTATAAGTCGACCATGCGTTCGATTGGCTAAGTTGCCTTCCTTTAAACTAAAAATTTTTTAAAAAATAAAATGAAAATAAGAATTTCAGAAATCGACTACGAGAGAATCCAATTCCTGCAACAAAACGATCAAAAACTCGTACGAATATGAAATCCAATTCCCATACTTTCATATCAGAAGTACATCAGAGTTAATACTAGCCACCAATAAAACAGCAAGAGATTCTACTAAATTGCCTATTATTTCGAATATAACAGAAGTTCCACCAAATGAGCACTTTTTTCCAACTTGGATCAACAAATTTGCTTTGCAGTATTTCACTAAGCTCCGCAAGTTTTAACAGAGGCAACAGGCAGTTGGTAAAGTTTCAACGAAACAAGAGAAAATAAATGGTCTCACAGATTTTGAATTCCGAGAGCAACCAGTAAAAATAAGACTGCTGGTCTTTACAAACCAATCCAGCCGTAATTAAGAGAATTCGTGTACAAAGTTGACAAATTGACGATGAACAGAAAGTTGTAGCCTTCTGAATTTCGAAAATCACTTCTGATTGTCACTTTTTTCATATTCTTAATGGTTAGCAAGTTTTTCCTTCCTTATAGTAATTGAATATAAATAAAAAATATATATCAAAAGTCAATACGCAAATAATCATATGAAAACGATCATTTTTTCGACATTCATTATTAAAAAAAAACACGGAGTAAACAACACAAGTAAACAGAAACACAAATACTGACTAGGTTTTTTTTAAATCTCAATTTTCCAATTTCGAAGACAAAATAGATGCCGTTTCAACTTTTTGAAATTCTAGCCCATTTCATGATTGGCGCTTTTTGAAAAAAATTAACATAACCTGAGAAAATATGATAAAATAAAGTTTCATTTCGCTGGAAATAAGAAATTTAAATTACAATTTCGAAACTAGAAGTTGATCACAATTTTCGTGACCTTCACACTTTTGCTGTTCGATAGTTAAGTTTGTATTTCTTTTAGCAAAGGAACTGAATTGTACTTGAAAAACAATACTACTCGAACCTCGAGAACGTGACTTTGAGCTTCAGCTAATTTTAAGACTTTACCTTAAAAAAAATCATCTCGACCTATATAAGATATATAAGACTCTGAACTCCGAAAACGCAAAGAAGCCAACACGACCTTTAAAAGTGTCTTGACTACGATCAGGGAAGCTAGAGCAATTATAAGTATCTGTGATACATTATAAGCAAATTGTTATCTTGTAAAAAAAAATTTTTGCTCCGACGTTAAAAAAAGCCGGAATTTTTTATTCCGTCAATTTTCGGCGTCGAAATAATAGTTTCAAAGACAACTTTTCCCAATTGAGAAATCGAGTCCCTGAATTCAAATTGAAAAAGATATTTTACCTCCGATCATTTTTTCTCAAGATTCTGGAAGTTTGAAAATTGTCAATATGGCCATGCTCTGGACTAAGTTATGCGCGCTTTGAAGATTTTATTCAAAACGCTGAAAGCGTAACGCGAACTATTTATGCGTGACGAATGATCCTGCAAAAAATCGTTCCACACTGAAAGGAAGCTAGCTAAGCTAATCGGTCGTATTAATTTCGTAACTTTAATTTATGCAATTGATCTTCGATATTGTCCAAAATTGATAGCTTTTCAACATTTTATTTTCCCAAAAACTAATCGACATGGAATAAGGGGCAGTCGCAACATTAAGAGCTTTGCCCTGATATACGAGCAGTCTTGTTATTAGTGAATTCAGAGGCTGTAGAAGTTGTCCTTACCAGTAAAAATCTAATTCATCTGGTGTAAGAGACCGTAAAATATGCTTGTATTTTTAAATTCGCACTTACCACAAAGCCGCAAATCTTTTCACTTGTTTCATAAATTAGACACACTATACAAAATCAGTATTCTGTTTACAAATCCAATTAGTATTAATTGCATTACAATTTTTCAATGATAGATTTGATTTGAAATTAGAAATGCCGGTTAAAATGTTAATGAAAAATGCGCTCTCTTGCACAAAAATCAGAATCGCATAAGATAAAACATTTTAGAGTTTCAACTTTTTGCTTCAGGTATTATTTATAGTGCTGGTTATGAAATTCGACTTTTTTTTACAAAACGCTGTAAGCACATTAAAATGAAATTTAGATTCCGAGAATCAAGAATGTTTGAACATTTCACAAACTGAGAAGCTTAGCACACTATAACTATTACAAATCTTTGAAGACTGTTCTTGCTCGCATTTTTTTTAAGTTTTCTGACATATCTCCATCTTAAGTGTTATAGATGTTGTCTTATGTATTCCCTCTATTCTCTCTCGCTAATCCCCTTCACAGCTTCTCTTTGGATGGTACCCAGATGAAGGTGTCCGAGTTATTTTCGATGACCCGTCTGCACTTGTCGTAGATCTCATCGTAAGTATCACCCTCAACAATCGCTGCAACACAAAACAACTCTTTTTCTCAAGTTTATTATACCACTATGTACTAAGCCTACACAAATGGAACACACTTTTTAAGAAAAGCATTTACGCTATCTTTCATTATGCTCATTTTCTTTCCCTAATCTATCTCACACGTATATATAATAATTGCAGACTGGAGTCAAATATAGACCAAATAATCCTCAAAAATTTTTGTGCAAAAATTAAAAACGAAACAACTGATCGACTTATTTGAGTGACCAAAGTGTGGCTTGAACGCACAACCCTCGTGTTAAGAGATGTACGCCTTACTCACACGACCACGGCCGATCACGGTTAAACACCCTCATACGGAGTGCTGAGATGTGTTCTCGATGTATGCTCATCAATGACCTAACCGGTGAATGATTCCACGAAGTCTGCCTCTGTCTTCTGGCTCCTCTCGAAGATGCGGGCTGCATGCTGCTCAGTCCAGCGGGGCATCGTGTCACTAAACGCAAAATGCATCTCAATTTCATGGCTCATTTAATACCTTCGTTCAATCCAAAATACTGCCAAATAATCCCAAGATATTGTTTGGTTGTTGTTTGCAGCCTGGCATTTTTTGGCGCGAGCATCATAATTTCTCTTTTTGCATTAAAAAAAGTGCGCCGATTTCTGTTTCATCTTCAGCGTCTTAAAATTTAATCAGAGTTTAACAAATTCTTGTAATGATAATCCAGTTATTGCCATTCCAACTCCCTAACCAGCCATAAACATAATGTTCGCGGTTTAGCCAATTTTTATATAGAAGAAAGATTGCCTAAATAGATTCGCGAGACCTCGCGTTGAGTTTTATATTAATAGGTCAAATGGAATTTTTAAAGTCGGAAAACCAATGAACGCAGGTTAACAGAAAAAAACTGACTTGTATTCTGAAAAAAATCTCAACTTTCGAATTTCAAAGAAAAATTAGATGACCTTGAACAATTCATAATGCCACTTTTTTGATAAAAAATTTATCCAATTTGAGATAACTTTTAAGCTTTTGCTGTTCGATAGTTGAATAACAAATACCGGCGACATAAATGTACTTTAATTAAGTTAGAAAACTTTGTTAAAACTGCAACAAGTACTTTAATTAAGTTAGAAAACTTTGTTAAAACTGCAACAAATATGTTGCAATCTAATTACACAATGAAATTAGACAAAAAAATATGCTGCGTAGATGGATGAGGCGAAAGCTACGTTTCAATTTAACACAAGTTTTGCACAGAAGCTTGAAAATTTTGATCGACCCATCTACCCCCGCCCCAAAAAAAAAGTCTGAACAACCCAATCGATGTATTACTTTTCAGATCAATTTTTTTTGTAACTCACAGTATGTTGCGGGTGGATTTGGGTCGGATGAAAATGGCGACTGGGTAGATTTGAGCGAGGATGAGTCGCTTGATGGCATTGCCACTCACATCCAGGATGCAGTGCTTCTTCTTCACCACACACACATCCTCCACTGCACGCAGACTAGTCCCGTACAAGTTCTCATTGTACTGACCTATGAACACAATGCATGGATCCACACTTCTTAACGTCTTAACTGATCCGGAACCCCGGTTTGCTTAATGAGTTTTTTTCACACGATTGCTTATCGGATAAGTTAAACATTTTAGTTTGCACGATAAATTTAGTGTAGTCTACAATACAAAATGTACTAAATAGTTAAGTATTTCAGTGGAATATTCTTCTTTTACCAACCCCGCTCCCATACCCACCCCGAAATTAGATATTAAGAGCGAGCCTTTGATTTTACAAGGTTATGTTTCGAGACCGCATGTGTTTCGAAGCTAATAATTAACATCCGTGCCTAAATAAAGACCTCAATAATGTTAGCAACCCCCTCTATTCTAAATTCTAGATCCTCCCCTATGTGCATGCGTGGGTGGTGTGTATGATGATTGCGTGTATGTGAGTGTACCTGCTTCGATGAATTTGCCGGCCGCAATGTCTCTCTCCATCTCCTCCCTACTCTCCATGAAGTGGTAGTCCCTCCCATCCACCTCATAGTCCCTCTTCTTACGAGTAGTATCTACACAGAGACAAAACACTTTTCGACGACCATAACCAATGGGGGTCTATTATAACGAATGAATGTCTGCGGCAAAAGATTTTCAATCAATCAACATCCTTTAATTATCAACAGGAAACATAAAACATACTTAACAAAATGACATGTTTAATTTAAAACATTACAATCTCTCAAAACTCATTGACAAAAAAGACAAGATTACTCTTAATCAATCCACGCGTCTTCAGCCATCTACACTATCCGGTTAATTGACTGAACGAAATATCAAATCGTCTAATAATATCATTTGGGAAGCAATTAGTTGGGCAGTAAAAACATGCTGTAACCGGAATAAATACGAGTCTTCTTCAGAATTGAAAACGCAATTAAAAATATGAACGATTATATTCTATTTAGACAGGAAACTATCATGCCACTTCTGGAAAATTTGAAAGAACTTATAGCCAGCCTATACCAAATTAAACTATCCATGTCATCAATCATCTCAACATCGATGAGCAAAAAAGCTTGTCTTCATACAACCATATTAAACCAGAATTATAGAAAAATCTATTTTTATGAGAGCTGCAACATTATGGAATAACACTCAAGATCTTAATATAATTTTAAAAACGCTCTAACTATAATTCACTTAAATTAAGGTTTAAGATTTTACCTAATCTTAACTCAGTAGATAAAGCTCTGGTATTTTGGCAAAAGCTGAGTGGGCAATTTTAATTTTTTTTTGACAATCTCTAATAGAATAATTTCGTTGTTTTTTGTGTAATTTTATATGTTTTAATCATCTACCACACTTCATTTTAGATCATTAATTCATTGGGAATAAAGGGTTCATTTTTAAGCTGTCCAAAACTGACTGAATTGTTGACTGGCTGGTCGTGTGACTTTTAATCCAGAACCCCGACGGGCTTCAGACTTATCCGAAGTGAACTGATCAAGCAGAACTCTAGTGGATGAAAAACTCTTGTCGGGCGAGTACCTGCAGACACTGCGTCGATGCAACTTCTGAGAATTAAACCGAGCGAGAGTCACACAAAATTGGCAGCAAACAACAAGGTATATGTAGTCACTGGAGCGACGGTAGAAGAAAACGAACGACAGTCACTCAAAAGACCAGAAAAGCAAGTAGACACAAAAGTAGGACAGCTGGGACAAGAACCAACAGCGAGAAAGAGAAAAAGACATTCGACCACTAATCAAGGCTGTCTCAAACACGACTAAAAACAATAAATGGTACGTTGGAAACAATTGCAATCATTGATAGCCATAAAGGTTCTTCGAAATGCTAGACTTGCGTGCTCTGCGATACGAGCTTTTTCTATGAGAACACACGCTCACTCGAAGATTACAGAAAAAATTTCTGGGTCGTCAGCTATCTCTCCAATCAGGCTCAAAAGACAATGCAAATTTGAGTTTCCAGTGCATGTTGAAACTCAGAAAAGATATGAATTCAGAGAGGGTCCGAAATATGTTCAGTGCCTAAATTGCCATACTACATTTCTCAGCCTAAATGAAGTCACAGCCTAAATGAAGTCACATACTAAATTTCACACAAACGATTCACAGCACAACCTTTTAGCAATAAAAGCGGCCATGTTTTGCAAAATTTCGAGAATTTCTTTGAGCATGATGTAGAATTTGTGGAACAGATAATAATAGGATTGTCTAGACAGAGTTGTTGAGATATATATTTGGTGACCTTGGATGTGACGTCATATTCTCTGAAACAAACAAGTTTGTATGAGAACCATCCGTGCAAAAGAGTTCCACAAAACAACAGCCTTTTACCTAGTGGAGAACCTAAATATGGTGGCAGAAGTTTAACACACTTCAAAAACAAGTGACTAAAAACTTATTAAAGGAATTGTGAAAAGAAGCACGCTAGAAACGATTAAAATCACAGAAACGTCAAAAAGAGCGCAAGATGAAGACGAAACGGGAATACCAACGGGAATTACGAGTCTATACAGATGGGAACCGCAAAGCAATACGGGGACAGAATTAAGGACAGGAGAAAAAGACGAAGAAAAAGTTTTTCAAATCGGAAGATTGAGACGACTAGAGAAATTGCAAGAAAAGAGGATGAAACGAGTGCACTAAGAGTGAAAGAAAAAACAAAAAAGAAAGACGTCAAAGTATAAATTTTAAAATCAACCGATGCCGATGAGTATCGAAGGTGAAAGAAAAATTTGAAACGATTTATCATGAATGGGATTACAAATCCGGAGCTGAACGAAATTGTTATCGGAACGGATAGAGACGAAGCCCACTCAGAAGATGGTTTGATCAAATTCATGTAAAATTTAGAAGAATCTTGGATACTAAACCTTTTTTTCAAGTTAGCTCAAACTTACACATGTAGTCACTGGAGCGAATGTAGAAGAAAACGAGCGACAATCACTCAAACGATCAGAAGGGGCAGACGAAGAAAATCAACGAGACACGCACGTACAAAAGCGGAGACTAGAACCTACAGCTAGAAAACGAAAAAACCTTCGACCACTGATGAAAAGCCCTATCAAACACGACCAAAAAACGACAAAAATTGGCACTTTGGGAATAGTTGTGAGACACAGAGGCAAAGCTGAGTTTCGCACCACATGTGATACAAAACAAGAAAGCTGTTAAGCCGCAAAAAAAAACATTGGAAAAATAAAATTAAATATATGAACTTGAATAAGGCTAATTTTGAAACGAAAACATGTCAAGACAATATAATCCGAAACTAGCATTGGAAGAAAACTTATCAAGTGCTAACAAAGCCGAAGCCACTTTAGCAGACATCCCTTTTAAGCCAAAAAAAACAAAAAAAAAACTTAAGAGCTAATGAAGTTATTAGGTCCCCTCGCCTCCAAAACACACACACACACGCACAAAAAGTTCAATCGCTTGTCAAATGAAACAATTTGAGTACACAAAACCGATATAATAAAGGCCGCCAAAACCTATTGAGCCGGAAAAAAAAGTTATTAGGTCGCGCTCACTCTCAAAACACACACAAAAAAAAATCTTTTTTTTTTCGCTCGTCAGGCAATAAGAGGCCACTAGGCCGATATAAAATAGGCCAAAATTTATCAACCCGAAACAAAGAAAAAAATTTTTAACAAATGGAGTTGGTAAAATTATTAATTACAGGAGTTTCAATTAAAATGAAAGATGTTTTAAGCAATAAAGATGTTTTACGTCACTTTCAGTAGATGAATTTCAATTGAACTCAAAAAGCGCATATACACAGGATCAATAGGTAAAGTTTCTTTTCGCTGGAAATCTAAAAATTGAATTCCACTTTCGAATCTAAAACTTGCTTATCGCCAGGGTAAAAAGACAGGAAATAAGTTTCGACGAATACATCAAGAATTTGAAATGGTATAACCGCAAACTGAACGAGGCAGATATGAAAAAACATTTACTGCCTGAAACTAACTCCACTTATCTACTACCTAAAAGATGGTAGTTATATTTGAATCTGAATGAGCATGTGAGTCACAGGTGAAATTTACCGTTCCTACTACACTGACTATTCTCTGAAAAAAGTTATTTACGGGAAAAGTCTGGTACCCGATTTCATTACCTTGCTTATCGCCAGGGTAAAAAGACAGGAAATAAGTTTCGACGACGAATACACCAAGAATTTGAAATGGTATAACCGCAAACTGAACGAGGCAGATATGACGGTGAATGATAAAATCGTTTCCACAGCTGTTAGACGAAGCAACCGAGATCAACACTGAAAAGATCGTTAGAAAAAAAGAATCAGAGAACAGAATCGATTCGGCAATACTAGAACAAAAATTGAGAAGATTTACTAAAAATGAAAATCAGACGTCAAACATATTGTTTAACATAGCCAATCGAAGATCGGAAAAGAACAATGAACGCAAGTAAACATAACTGCCCTTTAAGCTCTTTGAATTTCTAAAAACAATTTCTGATTGGTGCTTTTTTGACAACATGAAGCCAACTAGAGAAAACTGGATCAATAGGTAAAGTTTCTTTTCGCTGGAAATCTAAAAATTGAATTCCACTTCCGAAACTAGAAATTATTCACGTTTTTTTTGCGCCATTTCCACGTTCGTATTTGGAGAGTGCTATTTACGTCACTTTCAGTAGATGAATTTCAATTGAACTCAACAAGTGCATATATACCTAAGAGCATTCATAAATGCATCAACATGTATGAATGCACATCTGTAATTATCAGAGACTTTTCCTGAAATAAAAATCAGCAAGACCTATATAAGAGTCTTCACTACGTTCATTACTCTTAACCGGGAAGAAGAGGAGAAAGTTCTAGTTAGGGCCCATCAGGGTATGACAGAAGATAAAATCAAAAATTTTAGACGTCTATTGGGGCAGAAGGTAACGTAGGAAATGAGAGTACACATTGATCAAATTTTTGTTGAAGCAGAGGAAAAGATTGAAACGTCTCCGCGCTAGTTTGCAGAAGAAATGGATAATGAGTGAAAAGGGAAAAATAACTGAGGAATCGGTATACCCCAGGAAAACGCTGGGATGATGATGGCTTTTTTCTGTATAACTTTTGCAGACTTTCAATATTTCATTAAAATTTTGACTGATTAAAATTTTTCAGGTGAACTTATCAGTTTCTATCAATTTCTTTAGGCTACATTTGAAAGACGCTGATAGCGGTCACAAGCAAATACGTGAGCATGCATTGCTTAGCTTTCTAATTTTCTTTTGAATCAAATCTGTATACTAACGGGGCACACAGCTGCCAAACTTGTCCGGCTGATCCGAGATGAGGTCATCGTTCACTTTGTCCTTCCAGGGACCAAGAATGACAATGGGTCGCTTGTAGTCCACTGAAAAACATAGTCATGTGAAAAATTCGATCAAAGACAAGCGAGTTTCATTTCAGCTTCTTGCAGTAATCTTTCCCAGTACATCAATTTTATCCCTAACTATTTCGCCATGTTTATTATGAGTAACTGTTTCAATCGATTTCTATGAGCAGGACTTTAATATGATCTTAACTTGCCTTCGATCTGGGTGACCAACTCATAGCTGAGAATAGTAGTCTCTGATCCATCCATGCCCCCCTTGAGGGACCCCTCTGAGTCAGAGGCATTGCTGGTGTAGTGTCCCCCCGACTGGTCCACGTCACTGTTCACCACTATGCCTCCCCCTGCCCCTCCAGCACTGTCCAGGTCACTGTCTTTGCTCTTGCTCAGGGTGAACTTCTTCAGCAATCCACCCTTCTTCTTCTTGTCCAGTGTATTACTCTGAATATCATATTCACAACATTAAATATGATAATAAACTTTAAGTTCATCTCCGAATTAGTTCTAAACAATTCCAATGCTTTTTTTTCATCGCGAAGATCTTCGAGCGCAGAGGAATTTCACTCTCACTCACCCTTCTGTCGCCTCCACTCTCCTGCTGTTGATTCTGCTGGAACTTCACAGACTTGATCCGCTGTCGCTCCTTCCTCTCGATTCTACAACAACAACACAATCATTTCAAAGCCTTCTAGAAAGTTCACTAAAACGTCGTGTTTGGACTGTTTTTTTTTTCAGAAATTACCGTGCGGCTTAGGAACGTTTGACAGCATAGGGAACTTTTTGGAATAGCTGGTAACTATGTTTGGTCGGCTTAAAAAACGTAGATGAAATTAAATTTTCTTGGAAATCTGCCCTCACCTAGAAAATCCTAGATCTGCTCGAATAGAAGAATATATATTTAACTCGCTGAAAAAATTCCAAAACACTCAGAAAAACGATCATTATTGTTCCGACCACATTGATAAATTCCCCCAGCATAGGGTGGTTTTTCACCTGATTTTAAGAATCAAAGAAATCTCCTAGGGGTTCAGTTCAAGTGTGATAATTTATCAATGTTTTCAATTGTTTAGCTCCAACTTGTTTTGTAAAGTCCTTTCAGTGCATCTATCTTCCTAATTGTGGTATCTGCTATTCACAGAGGATCTATGACACACTATCCAGCCTGTCCAAGCATAGTCCGTTTCTATTATTTCCCCACATTCAAGACTGAGATAATTTCTATTTCTTCTCACCGTCTCTTAGATGGTATGAGGCCAACTCCGCTCTCGTTGACGCCCGGGGTTCCATTGACGACCAGAGTGGCAGCCCACCACTCCTCGTCTGTGGCATTGTGCACGTGCAATATGTCCCCATGCACGAACGAGTGGCCAGATCCAGGTATGGCCTTGTCCTTTCCAGCCGCAAAGTCAAACAGGGCACTGAAAAAAAAACACATAAACATAGCTTAGATGTCAATTCATAGTTGAGTTCGATGTAAGCTTATATGTTAGAAGGGAGTTCAATCAGTTATAAGATGTCTCAACGGTATTAGTGTATGTTTAAGCTAAATAATATATCAACGTTCGAGCATTTTTCTAATAATTGAAATTTTCGATGGATGCATTTTTACACAGGTTGAAGTTGCACTACGCAAACGCAAGAAATTTGAACCGAAAATTATCACAAATGTAGTGGTTTTTTATTTTCGAGCTCATGACATCTATATTTTTCAGATGCTTTAAAAAGTTAACAATCATTTATTAATATAATCAACATCGATAGTAATTTAGCGCTAGATTTGCTGTAAAAACTCAAAGAACATGGAATTGCTGAGTAAAGAAGCATAGTTAATTGCTGACCGGACATAGAAGCTCTTTTTTGCGGCTGTCTGCAGAGTTCCTTCCTGCGAGTTGGATGAGATCATTTGCTCCCTCAGCTCGTGAATCTTAGCCTCGAAACGCGCATATTCTGCAAAAGAAGAATAGTAATTTGTATACAACACTTCTCAATTCTGCCACTAATTCAGTCTAGTGTAGTACATGCCAAAGGTTTCAATCATAGGTTAGAAGTGCACTGTACTGATGCTTACCATCGGGTCTGTACACGACCTCCAGCGTCACTGTCTGTCCAGCTGACTTAAGAGCCTGAGCAGCTTGCACGTGAGTGGCATATGTCAAGTTGGTATTGTTCACCTATAAAAAGATATTATATGTCACTTTGGTTCTCCCTTTTGTTTTTGAAAAAAAGCGTGCAGTTTTTTTTCTATGGGCATTTCCTCTTCAACATGTAATCATAAAAATACACTAAAAATTCAGCAACTTCCAAAAATATCCAATAAAACTAGCCGATGCATTATGTCCAGCAAAATGAGCCCTTAGTTCAAGTTAACTTCAACATTTTCTCACCGCAATGATCTGATCTCCTCGCTGCAACGAACCCGACAAATCCGCCACTCCTCCCGGCAGTATGAACGACACAAATATCCCTTCATTATCCTCACCGCCCACAATATTGAACCCCAGTCCCGTCGGACCCCGGGTTAGCCTTACTACCCGATTCGAGGGCGCTCCATCCCCGTACCCGTGATCTTGCATTGGCTGACTGTTCAGCGGGGGCGGAGGAGCTACGTTTGACAGCCCCATCAAATCCTGTTGGTTCTGAGACATCGAGGATTCTCTGTATGACTGCATATGGTGCGATTCCATTTCTAGTCTGCCTTGGTCAATCCTATCATCCATCATTGGTTCAGGGTGAGGGTACCCATATCCATCAGAGGGGGTGTGACCATGCTGCTGCACTGACTTGATCGGGGATCCTTGGGGCATACTTCCTGTAACATAAATTTTGGTCCCATCACTATACGGTTAAGAAGGAATCATAGCGTAAGATTTCGAAGCGTTTTTCTATTCCTCAAAAAAGCTTCGAGGGTTGAAATTGAATTAGATATTGCACTAAAACCACTTCGGTCGCAATTCAGATTCCTAAAACGTATGTCAAAAAAATTGCCAATTTCTTTTGCTCTTCAGACTCAAATTTAGCCAAGAGCGAATAAATTAACGTTGAGCGTAGACTCTATACTGATCACAGCTTCACGATATAAATAAGAAATTTTCATCAAAATGCTTAAAATGCTATTATACTTTACCGAGCTATTGCCTGCGGTTTATTCACTTTGAAGAAAAACATGAGAAAAAAAATGTATTTTTTTTGCAATGAAAACAGTCATCATATGATTTTTTTTGCAAAAAGAAAACTGGGAGGCACATTCTTATACAGCGAACGGCTACTCTTAACACACTTACAATTGAAAACAGCCAAAATTAAGACACTTCATCGACAAAAACCTAGCCAACGTATATTTGGAAAAATGTTAATGAACATGGAAACCGAAAAACATGGCCAAAAGACAGATGGAAAAGAGTCAACCAACGCAAGGAAACTGAAATGAAAAATTAACTTAAGAATTTCAAAAATAAAAATACATTAAATATATATATAGGAAAAAAATATATTCTACATCCATTTTCGAAACAAGAAGCCGTTCACGTTTTTTGCGCCATTTACACATTCGTATTCGGAGAGCGCAATTTACCTAACTTTCAGCAGATGAAAATGAATTAAACTCAACTAGTGCATATATACCTAGAAGCATTCGTAAATGCATATTAATAAGTATCAATGTGCTTCCGTAAACTAGAAGCATTTAAGGACTTTTCCTAGAAAAAAAACGAAAAAAATCATCACGACCTAATAAGAGTCTGAACTACATCATCGATTCTTAAACAGCGAACTATCTGTACACTTTTAAAACAGGGGGAGGGGCGGGTCGGGGACTGAGACTGAAATTCAGAAAATAGCTGAAAAATGATCTAAATTAACGTAATAAAATAATATTTTAAGCATAGAGCTTTTTGATCTGCACTATCATAATGCTCAAAATACAAAACAGATGGCGAGGCAATCAACCAAAAAAACAAAAAATCGTAAAATTTCATCAAGAAAATCAAGTTCTAAAAACAGAAACTTGAACCATGCGACCAAGAAACACTTGCCTGAACCATTGCTGCTTGGATTATACCTTTTTCACCTAGATTTCAAATTGCTGTAGGAAGTGAATGACCACAGATAAAAATCAAATTGATAAATATCTCAGTTTTAAGATGGAACAAAATCACCAAAATGGACACAGAGGTGAAGCTTCAATTGGCAAACACTAGCGAAAACACGACAAAAAACAGCTCTATAAAGAGCAATAAGAAAAAGTAGAAACAAGCCTCGAGTTAGTAAAAATTCGGCTACGTCTCGGATTCGATCTCCGACCTACTGCGAACTAGAGATTATGAGTCTCACGCACTAACCACTGAGCCACGGACGCTTAATCAATTACAAACACTAGCCACATAGAAAGCAGAGAATAGATGCTATGAAATTTCCAATGCTACAGATCGTGATTATAGCAAAAGTGTCACCAAATAAGTGAAGACTTTAATTTGCGAGCTAGGTTAGAAAAAAAGAAGGTTCATACTAATACACTATGCTGCTCGCAAATGTTAACACAGAACATTGCAACGTAGGTTAGCAAAAATGGGTATATCTTGTTAGACAGTTATATCAATTATAGCACTGAAATAATAACACAAAAGTCAGAAAAGTATTAAAAATTAAAACACTCTATCAGAAAAAAAAAACATAGCCAACGGAAATTTGGAAAAAGGTGAATGAACAAGGAAACAAACAAAAAGCAGCCAAAAGACAGTTGACAAAGAGTCAATGAACGCAAAGAAACGAACAAAAAAAACACATTTTTTATTCTGAAAAAATGCAACTTTCGAACTTCAAAGTAAAAAATAATGGCGTGAAAGCTCTTTGAATTTCAAGAGCAATTTATGATTCACACTTATTTTGTAAAATTAACTCAATTTGAGAAAACTGGATCAATAGGTCAAGTTTTTATTCCGCTGAGAAATCTGAAAATTGAAATACAATTTCGAAATTAGAATTCGATCACGTTTTCGTGACTTTTCCTGTTCGATTAAGGACTTTACCTTCCTTTCAATATAGCCAACAGACAGTTGGAAAAGAATCAATGAACGCGAGTAATTCGAACAAAACAATGACTAGTACTTTTTGAAAATTTCCAAGAAAAAATAGATGTTGCGGAATCCGCGACAAAACTAATGTGCCGACAAAACTTACGTTACCAAATTTGTGCTCGCAATCCACGTACATTTTATGAGTGGAATCAACTTATATTTTGGAACATGTTTAAAGATTATCTCTGGATTCCAGTGACCTACAGACACCAAATTGTGCGCTTGTCAGCAAATGAAATTGAAAGGAACATAAAAAGAAGCCAAAGTTGAACAGCAAAAAAATCAAATTTGAACTTTTTCAAGAAAAAAAACAAAAAACCCTCGACCTAAATTAGTGTCTTCACTTTGTTCATTGACACTTGATAATCACTTTACCACAAAAATCACCCATTAAAAGTACACGTTGTAAAACTTGATAAGTTGATAAAATATCAAAACGATTCTGTGTTTTCTGAAATGAGGAGAAATATACTAGTACTAGACATGTTCAAAAGAATCAATTTTACCTCAGATTAGAAAAACTCGCTTCTCACTATTTCACTGCACTTCACTTCGCTTGTGTGATGACGTTAGAAAACTGACCTGGCGCGGAGGAGTAGTTCTCTGGGAGGATTGTCTCTAGGGGCAGTTTGGCTGGCTTGGCCACCACCAGAATCACATTCTCCTTGATCCTCTTCAGAGTACCAACAGCCTCCTCATGGTACACGTTCTCCAGGTTCTTGTCGAACATCTATACAACGAGACATCAAATGGAAGAATCACTTAAAGCTTCCTTGTTAAACTAACGGAAGTGAATAGAAAATAAACCGCTTTCATCCGTTCCTAACTTCATTACAAGTTGCACATTCTAAGCTATAGATAAATAGCCCCAGAAAAAAAGAAAGGTACCTCATCATCATAAATTTACCTCACAGAGTTTTATGAGTTTTGACATCGAGTTTTGTTCAAGACAGCAAAAACAGTAAGTCTCATAGGTTCACAATGCCTCACCCAGGCTTGATCATAAGTGGACCGTTCATTTCATACAGACGCACTCGCTCGGTGACCTTGAGCTCAGCTCTCAAAAAACTGTACTTTTTAGGTAACTAAGATTATTATGACACTGTTTTTGCAAGTTGAAATGAGTGAAAAATTAATTTGCGGAGCCACAAAAAGCAATTGTAGGATAATTAATGTCTTCCAGATTCGTTGGCAGGAACGGAAATTGCCACCATTTTGACATTAACTATAATATTTTGAGCGCATTTGACTATTCTTTTCTTGTTCTTACCGTCTCTTTGGGATTTTTCGATTCCCAGGATCTCACAGCAATAATTCTGTCCCCCATTTCCAGCTGTCCCTCCGCCTCGGCCGCCCCGCCCGGGATTATCTTAGTGACGAAGATGCCACAGTCCCCTGGCACGTGGTTGTTGCCGATGCCTCCAGCAATGGAGAAGCCCAGTCCACTTTCGCCCTTGACCAAGTCTATCTCGATCAGCTTCTCGGCCGCCGCCATTTGGATGCGACGAATCATCTGCATAATTACATCTAGCACTTCAGAACTGATCAATAAAAAGCTAAATTAATATACAAATATTTTAAAAAGCATTTTAATTTCAAAATTAGAAGTTGCACCAAATGCAAGTATCACTAATAGGAGTGTACATCGCACAACGCACTCATTTTTAAAAGTTAATACACTGAGAAAGTGGAGATCAAAATCAATCGATATGATAAAAACAAATAATTTTAACAGTTTCTGAGATAATGGAACAAAAGTATTTAGATAAATTGAACAGACAACTTTATATTATGTCATTTTTAAAATATGCGCCTCAAGCCACAAGAACTTTACGTACACCGTCCAAGGAAGTAAAACCTCAAAGGCAAATTTTCCGTTTAACTTCTGACACAACACGAAGCTCATTTTCACTTTTTCCAGCAATAATTTTAGTAGCTTGTTCGTATTTGCAAAAAAAACATCCACGAACCTTCAAAAAACAACAAGACTAGAAAATCAATACCAAAGCCAAACCATGAATATTCAAAAGGCTTCAAGTTTGATCCCATTTAGATTTCAGTTGTACTATCGTGAATAAAATTGTTTTCAGTATTCGATCGTTTGATTACGCGAAGTAGTCAAGTAGTTCTAAAAAAAATGGCGCCAGCCCTGCACTCCACTCACCATTCGGACCACATTGGGAGTCCTCTTCAGAGTCTCCACTGCCTGTGCATGAGTCACGTTCTCAGTTGACGTCTCGTTCACACTCAGCAGAATGTCATTCACCCTAACACAAACACACTGCAACACGATCAGAGAGACCCTTTTTTACGCGGACGAAGGAGAGACTTGTATTTTAAGATTTGTACACATGTACTGTTTTACGCACATAACTAGTTAAACGGTGAAAACAAAAGAACAAACTAAGAGTTCACGTAAAAAAACGACAGAAAACGAGTCTTTCAAGACGAAAGAGACCAATTAGAGACCAGTTGCTCACCCTGAACAAAATGAATACATAAACATGTCGATTCATTTTTACATATTATAATAGAAAATGATTGGCTATTGTTTTATTGACCCTAAACTACTCACTCAATGATAGGACGTATGTTATTAAATTGTCAATACAATGCAGCAAAAATTCGGTTATTTGAGTAATTTTTGTATCAAGCCAAAATTGGTTACACCAATTTGGTTAAAAAATATTATAATTCTGATAATTAAATTCCAATTTCGAAATTAGTAATCGATAACATAATTGGTCAAAAAATCGGTTGGTTGTTTTTAACTTAACATCACTTATGGAGACATGCTGTCTGTTCTGCGTCATAGCACGAGCTCATCACTTTCTAAGTGCCTGTTTGAGTCTAGATAGTGAACTAGATTTTTGATTGGCTCACCTCAGAGTGCCCTCCTGTTCAGCATTTCCCCCTGGGATAATTTTGGTGATGTAGATGTGGGGATCCGTTCCAATGTGGGGGTTGTCTTTGCCTCCTGCAATTGAGAAGCCCAGTCCCTCTGGTCCCTTGTGTAGTGTCATCACCAAGTCCTCGTACTCATTGTCACCCTCGCCAGACTACAAATGCAAACAATCATGTCAACACGACGCAAGCAAGATCTCGTAACTATTTCTGATCTACTTAACAATTGCCCCCCCCCCCCCCTTTCAAGAAAAGGGACAATTGTTAAGTTGATTAAGTTGTCGAATTTTCGACCGATCAGATAGCACTAAAAATCGAATTTTACATAGAACGCTCTAGTGCTAATTCACTGTTTTATTTACATGGGTGGCAATTCTTTAGTAGATACCAAAGGGAGGGTGATTGTTAAGTATATCTCTATTTCTCCCCTATTGCAACAGAAGGGGGATAGGAGAGTTTGGTAACTAGGTAAAAAACTCACATATTCTTAACCGTGGAATTAAGTCTTTAAAGGGGTGGTAATTCGTTTCTAGGTACCATAGGGGGGAGTTGAAGAGATCGAACAAACAACACTACCAAACCAAAGAGTGTAGCTGGATCGGGACAATTCAAGATCATACACACCTTTTTCTTGATAACCATATTTCTCGGCTTAAAAATCACCTTTAATTTCCAAATTATGCTTCCATCATTTGCTATGTTCTGCTTCCAAGACGAAAATGTCAAGTTATCGCTATTAGTTTAAGTAGATTCATTTCAAAAAATAAAAGTGCAGTCTCACTTACATATTCAACTTGGTCTGCATTCATGACTGCTGGTGGCGGATGCGCCTAAATAATAAAGCAAAATAGTTACTTCCACTTTGCACTGAACGTACATTCCACGACTATTGCAAATCGGAAGAAAAATTATGATTCTAGAAAAATTACCAACCTGCACTGGTGGCGCGTATCCTTGTACAGCATATCCTTGCACCAAATCCTGCTTGGGCTCATTCTTCGGCATAGTAGATTGTCCTCCCCCACCCATGCCCATTCCACCTCCCCTCTGCTGCATCATCGAGTCCGAGGGGGCCCCTTGCACCCCCATCGACTGACTCCTGCTCAGATGGGGCTCGTCCATTTGCACTCCCGGTCCTGGTGCCGACTTTGGCGGGTAGGGTCTGGGAGGTGCCGGGGGTTCCATCGGAGGAGGATAATGATGCTGCTGCTGTCTTTGTAAACTCATGTTTTGTTGGGGCCCTCTTTGCATGGGAGGAGTAGCGTGAGAAGTCCCTGCCATCATGGTTGCCATTTGGATTGTGCTTATAGTTCCACCCTGAGCTCCCTGATAAGGAGGCATAGTGGTGAATTGACTGGAAGGGATTGGTCCTCCACTCTGTAACATTGTCTCTCCGTCCACAATACATGACTCATAATACTCTTGGATGTCTAGCAGAGCCTAAAAATTCAAGACGAAACACGTTATAAGAATAGATTAAACTTCATAAACAAAATCAGCCAGTGCCAACAAAAACTTGCGAATTATCTGAAAAATCAATAAAGATAAACTATAGTTCAATGAAAACTATACACAAAAAAGCCAGCACAACGTTCTGCTGTTTTGATGTAAGCTTAGCAGTAATGTAGCTCCAACTTAACAGAAACTCCTTTAGGTTAAGAAAATCACCGATCACTGAATACAAGCAGATCACTAACTATCTTATGTATTGCGATCTACGGATACACATTGCTATATGTAAAATAAAACGCGCAAGAACAGTCATTGAAACATTTCACAGATTCACAAAGATAAAACCATGGAGACATCAGCATACCCGCAGGGTCACAATACCACACAGAGGTATAGCGGAGCTTCGCAACACTTGCGATACAGCAAAAACATTGCGTTACAAGACAGTGAATAGAAAAAAAGAAAAGCATTCCTTTTTTTAAATGATTGAAAAACCAACTTGAAAAAGTCGAAAAATACAACTACAACTATAAAATTTCTTAATTGTATTGAATGATGTTTCTTCAGTATTGGGAAATGAGTATTGGGAGTGGCAACTTGGGCGACAAAACTTAGGTTGACCCCAGTTGAACCGAAAGCAAAACAGTTGTTTTAAAAAATTGAGCCATGTTTGAAAATTTTTACGACTCATCCAACAAAGTACGCAATATAAGTTGACTTAGCCGATGCAATTAAGACCAAACCGTTGAAAAATCAAAAAGAAGAAAAAAATTAATCAAAATCAGACTTGGTAAATTTTCAAATTACAGAAATTTTAATTATATGAAAAAAAAACTTGGGGGAAATCTTTTAGTTAAATGACCCTCAGTCAGGGGCGGATCTAAATTGTGTCGACAGTTTTTAGGAGAATCAAATTGATTTTTCGAGCTCTACCAAAGTACTGAAAAAAACCCTGTTCTGGCCAAATTTTCTGCGCCGCAGGCAAAGTTTAAAAAAAAAACAGGCCAAAAAAAGCGTTTTTAGGCCTTTCTTGACCAAAAAATCGCCGTTTTTTTCGGCGCGCGCTGCTCCCTGAAAATTAATATATATTTGCGCCTTTAGAAAATTTTGGGGTCCATCAGCCAAAAATGGATATCTCAAAATAGTTCAAAGCGGGGTCGAATCCCTGAAGGGGGCGTCAGACTTCGATTATGCAAACAGCCTGTAACCCCGACCCCCCCCCCCCAAAAAAAACTTAACATTTCTGACCTGGAACAGCTGGGATCTGAACACTGTGATGACCCTCTGGACCGAGTCCCGCAGCTGTCTGTCAGCCGGTCTGGTCAGTCTCGAGTGATACTCCTCCAACAACTCCACGGCACGAGACGCCTCTGCAACAAAAAACAAAAAGATACTAGCGAAAAACGAAAAGGCTTATGAGTAAACGCAATTACAAGCAATGGATATAATATAATTATTTTAGAATAATTAGTGATCTGTGCCTTGCACAGAAAAACTCTGCAGACAGAAAAAAAAGTTTCTAGTTGATTGATTAACTTGGTATTGGGTATTCGGAAGATATTGATTAAAAAAGCCAAGATGATAAAAAAATTTTGGTGTCCTACAATTTAATGACATACAATTTAACACCGTACATTTTAAAACTTAGTCACTTCACTACTAAACAAATTAAATCGACAACAATATAACTCCTATTTTCCAGTTTAACACAGTACATTTTAACACCTAGTCATTTCACTATTAAAATTAATGCTTTATGAATTCCTTATCTTAACTCTTATCACACCAAAGTTAATCCTGCAATTAACACACGCACCATAAAGAAAAACTTGGTTTATCTTAGTTATACATGCTAAACCTAGTTATACATTCTTATGTATGGCGATCAGGTCATAAGTTTAAGTTCGAGAATGATTCTAAAAATAATGACTTTAAGGCTTTTGGCATTGGTTAAACCTTTTTTTAATTTCTAGACCGGCTGAAAATGTCTAGAAAATCAGGCCATTTTAGTCAAAAGACGTCTAATTATTTGCGGGCTTTTGAAGTTCATTGAACTATTGCTTGTTTTTGGTTCATTTTGGAATGATTCATTGAAATTATTGGCAAGGCCATTTCATTTTGGTTTGAAACGTTTCATTGAAATCATTTGCAAGGTCATTTCTATTCAAAACTTACGCGAATTAAGTAGCGCAAATTTGTCTGGCTTTAAATGGCAAAAATTTCTCTCGTTTAATTCTTTGATGGTTACCGAAATCCCCTTTGAAGTAAGTTTTCTTTTCATTTGGATTAAAACGGTGTTAAGTCATAGAAATTGTTTTAAAATGTAGCGATGTTATATTGCTAAGGCAACAAAAAGTAGGGAGTTAAATTGTAGGGTGTTAAGTTGTTTAGAATTAAAAAGGGGGGAACCAAAATTTTACACACAAGCCGACCACATTCAAGGATAATTAAGGGGGATTATACCGACTATTTACGGTCATTTGCTAGAAGTTCGTGACGAAATGTACTCAAAAAACAAGCTGAGAAAAGTTCTCACAAAATCAGACATTAAAACTACATAAAAAACGGATTCTATGCCATACACAATTTTACCACGCCAAAATATAAGGCGAGTAAAACCAAGTAAAAAAACTAGGACATACAAAAAATCGGGCAAAAGACACTTGAAAACTTCGTTCAAAACACTTCTCTTTCAGCTCCCAATTTCAAATTTGATGTTCAAGTTTCAGAGCCAAAATATTCCTCGTCGTGAAAACAGCCATTAACGCTAAAATTGTGTCACCATGTTATTCAAACCAACATAGGTTCATGAACATAACTCTTCATTGTTGTCCTTAATCATGATAACTGGTGATTTCTATTTCCATTTCTAGCAAACTAACCTTTTCCTATTATACAAACGTAAAAAAAATTCTCGACAACTATCCAAAACATCACAGCCATGAATGCAAAGTATTGGCATTCAAAGACAACGACGAAATCAGGGCGCATTCTGGCGGCCATAACCAAGCAAACAGAAGCCGGAAGTGATCAAAATTGAAAGACCGCAGCGACAGCTGCAGACTATTGGTTGCGGTAGCAACAGGAGTCCAAGCCATCATACAGCAAATTCCAACCCGACATGTTCCAATTAGAGCAAACCTCAATGAAACTGCTCAGCGAAAACATAATAAAGACTAATTATACAAATGCATCTGCCCCCCCCCCCCCCCCCCGGTTTCGATATTCGTCATCGTCTCAGAGTTTCGTTTAAAATGACAGTGGTAAGGAAGATAAGGAAAGAATCGTCGTTTTAACTAACGGAATCGGAATCTTAACATAATCGGAAAATGAGAACCCTCCGATTTTTAAGCTAACGGCACTTTCAAATTAAGGGCTTTGTTTTTTGAACCAAAACTATTTAAGTGTAATAAATGCTGGTACAGTACCTAAATTCCTCTGCCTTGTTACCAAAAAAGAAGAAAATTACAGTCGGTTTATAACAGCCTTGAAAAAACTAGCGCAAAACATCAATTCGCAAAAAAAGTTTGCTGGAATTCGAGCAAATTCATACTTAAGCATTTAAAGGTTGTGCCACCTAAATCACGAGCTTGCTTTGCATAGAAAATGTTTACCGACTTAGCTTTGGAAAACTATTAGCAAAATTATGACGAGTAATCGATGGATCCGCAAAGGTAGAAAATTAAGAACGCTGTTTAAGACTGGCCTGGGACATCCGATACTCTTTCAGTGGTTTACAACCGAGTATCTAGAAATTAATAGAAAGTTTCCTGAAAAAACTTTCCGTACAAAAATTGAATTTTCTGAATGCAAACACCAGATCTACTCTCTTAAGTAACAAAATGCGATTTGAGCCATAAAGTTAACGACATAATGTTTATTACACATAGGCAAAGCTGCGCTTCGCTAACACTAGCTAGAACACGACCAAAAAGCAGCTCTAGAAACGACCAAAAAGCAGCTCAAGAAAGTGCAAGAAGAAAAAATGGTAAGAAGCCTCGAATTAGCAAAAACTCGGTTATGTCTAAGATTCGATCTGCGACCTACTGCAATCAAGAGATTTTGAGTCTCACGCACTATCCACTCAGTCAAGCAAGCTCAACGACCGACTAACAGTCACGAATGAAGCAGCTACATATGCTAATAAATTGCCAATTCGATTCTGCAGAAGTGGTGCTAAATACAAATAGACTCAATTTTGCAATTAATAATTTGGATTTTAGCAAACTTAAGGCATCCACACTAACTTTGCAAGTAACAAATCGCAAAGCCACATTATTCATAAAATGTGCATTTCAAAAATTGCGAGATATTGAGTTAGAAAAATTTTGAAATCGAGTTTTCATTATTGTTATGTCTTTATCACTTCTTTCGGTTCATTTGATGAATTAAAAATGCATCAACTGTGTTAACTTATTACTATTCGAATTTCAAAGCCCATGCGATGAAAAAAACTGCGAAGGTGCCCCAAAAGTGGCACCAATATTTGAGATTTAGGTTGGAAAAAAAGAAAGTTTGTATTAATATACTCGCTTCGCAAGTGTAAACATAGCCAATCGAAGATTGGAAAAGAGTAATGAACACAAGTAAACATACAAAAACCATGACTTTCTTGAAAAAATCTCAACTTTCAAATTTCAAAGAAAAAAATAGAGGCCCTTTGAAATTTTTGAATTTCTCGAACAATTTATGATTGGCTCTTTTTTGATAAAATGAACCCATCTAGAGAAAACTGGCTCAATGGGTAAAGTTTTTATTCCGATGGAAATCTAAAAATTAAATTCCACTTTCGAAAAAAGAAATCGTTCAAATTTTTTTGCGCCATTTCCACGTTCGTATTTGGAGAGTGCATTTTACGTCACTATCAGCAGATGAATTTCAATAGAACTCAAAAAGTGCATATACGCCTAAGTTTATTCATAAATGCATCAATATGTATGAATGCACATCTGTAGTTATTAGAGACTTTCAAGACTTTTCCTAAGAAAACAGAACAAAAAATATTTCACTACGTTCATTACTCTTAATAAGAAAAACGGATATTCCTTACTTTCGCCAGTTACTCAGTAAAAATTTTTGAAATAAGAACAATGTGTTTTTTTACCGAAAATTAAATTCTTTTTGATCTATCGACTTTTTCATAAGAAGCCTCCTTGACCCTCCAGTAAAAGTGTCAAACGCAAAAACGTGAATTGCAGTTACCCCTTCTGCTAACTTGCAATTGAGTTCAGAGCAATTGCTCTTATGATGGGAAGCCAGGCTGAGAAGTGTCCTAGCAACCCCTTATATAATGTATTTATTAGACGAGAATTCAAAATAAGTTGATGATGATTGAGATTTCGAATTAACATGAATGGCTTTATATAATTTTTTGTAAATTTTTTGATATTTACAGACATTAATCAACCTAATTCAGCGATAGCCGTTTTATGTTCATTAAATTCATTCGTTTAAGCTATGAAGCCGGCCTACAAAGGGTAAAAAATTAATATAACTATTACACAGATGCGAAGCTGAGCTTCGCACCACTCGCAATTCAAAGCAAGAAAGCCGCTTGAAACAAGAACAAAATTAGAAGAAAACTGGATCTATCAAAATGAATAGAGCTAATTTTGAAACGAAAGACAATAGAGAAATTCGCATCGAAAGAAAATTTGAAAAGCCGAAAACACCTTAGCAGAAACCCTTTAAGCTGAAAAAAAAAATCAAAAAGACTTGTAAAAATTTATTAAGTACCCCTCATCCTCGACACACACGCACTTTATTCGGCTGTTAAATGAAACAAAATGAGGCCATTAAGCAGATATAGAATATGGCGAAACCTATTAAGCCGAAAAAGAAGTAAAGAAAAAAGCTGAAAAAAAATCAAAAAAGTTTAAGACTAATTTAAAGTTGTTAAGTCCCCCTCACCCTCAACACTCACACGCACTTTATCCGCCCGTCAAAAGAAACAAAATGAGACCACTCAGCCAATATATTATAAGCCTAAATTTATTAGGCCGAACAAAAAATAAAATAAAAAGCCGACAAAAATTCAACAAAATAGAGGACTTTTTGATAGCTATTAAGTCCCTCTCCCCCTCAAATCAAACACACAAAAAAACTTTTTCGCTCGCCGTACGAGGAAATATGACATTTAAAACCCCAACAAGCACAAAAAATATCTGTAGCGGTAAATTGGTTATCTGTAGCGGTAAATTGGTTGCTAAGAGGCTTCAAGGAAATGAGTCCAGATGAGAAGAATCCTGTAAACGAAGTTGTTTACCGGAAAAAAGTCTACTTCCCGATTGCAACACTCTTGCTTACCGCTTATTTAAAAAATAATGGTGAAAAAATATTCTTAGATAAAATATTTGAAGTAAAAATAGGTAGTTTGAAAACAGGCGCGGTAAAGAAACTGAACCATTGTTGTAAGCTCAAATTGGAAGAAAAAAGAAACGTCTAATAGAATAATTTTTGAAACTCGTTTGTGGAAACAGCCGATATTAGTTTCATTTCATACTTTCGCTTTTCGAGTGTGCCATGTTATACAGGTTCCAAGCAGTAGCTTCTGCATTGACACTGTTAATGTCATTATACGACTTCGCATGTACGAATTGGTTCGGCTGAATTGCCGAATTCGAATCGGCAGTCGATGGTGTCTTGCTTAGTCGACCACTGGTAACACCAACTACCGGTCCCATTCCGACAGGCGGAGCAGCCCCCATTCCAATTCCGGTAGCTGATAGCTTCCCGCGTCTCCCCGTTGTGTTAGACTGGAAAAAGTTTGCCGACAATTGGGATCCATGACTCACACTATTGTTCATCATCTGGTGGTTGTAAGTCGAATATGAGTTGGGAATTGAGAAATTAGAGGAGCTATGGTTGATGTGATTGTTGTTTTCAGTCGAGGAATGATAATTAACCTGCTGGGCTAAGGAGCTCAGTTGGGCGCTACTTGCGCTGTCTCTCAAACCGTAGGAAGACATTGTTTTGCTGGAGTTTGGAATCAGTTTTGGATTAACTTCTGGTTCTGTATATTCCAATCGCTAAACAATTCGGTAAAGTGAGTTGGATTTGGGATTACAGCACAGTTGGTATCTTGTATCTCCACTGTAGCAGCGCCGACTCAATTTCTTCGCTTCTTGTTCACGCGGATTTCATGAATAATTCAACAATGGACCATTTGAAAAGTACAGTAAGAAAGTTGACGCCAGTAAATTCGCAATGTAATGCTTATGTTTTTTAGTTCTTAAATGTTCTCTGATCGCGATTCACAGTTATCGATTAATGACAAACAAAGATGGATTCAAAAGAATGGACTGAAAGATAACTTCAAAAGAATGATGAAAAAATTGACTTCAGAGAAAAATTTAAAGAATTGAAGGGAAAAAATACTGAACCGGGGTCCTATTTCGCAGCACGCTCAAGGGTGGGATCTCGCTTTGCGAGTTGTTGACGCCGGGTAAATATGCGTAGCAATTCAATTGCAATCCCAAGTAAAATGAAAAACAGAAAGACTGTTGTGTCGTATGGGCTAAAAGGGAATGGGGTTAGATAGATTTAACAACTCTATTAGTGTGTGCGACAGGGAGGGGGGAGGGGGGTTCTGAGGGTAGGAAAGAGGAAAAGTAACAGCAGCAGGCAGGAAGACAAAGATTGAAACTAATTGAATCAACTCTCCCTTTTACTTTATCTGTTGAGGTCTATCTTTGACTTATGTGACATTTTATTAACCAGATCAAATCCTAACTAATCTCTGAGTAGAGATTAACTAGACTAGTTTAGAGAGAAAGGAAGTGTCTAAAAGGAAAGGGAGGTAAACTGAGAGAACATCTCAATGTGTTATATTAGACGACATTAGAAAGACAACAGATCCATTTCCCGGATCAGAAATTCAATCTTTTCTTCATTCAATTCAATAGAATTTTAACAGAAATGTCCCGGGATTAATTGAATTTGCTTTTCTAAAAACCAATTATTTTAACCTCAGACTTTTCCCAGCTTTATGGAGAGGTCTTAATACCAAATAATGTTAACATCAGACGAGTAGCAGCAGGGGGAGACAGACTTTTTTCAAAAAAACCCTAGTCGATTTAAGAATTATGTGCTGGCAGAATTTCAAAAGATAAATGTGTTAATACCATAGCAAAGTTTTCGCTTATTCGAGGAAAATAAATTTATAGCTAATACAATTTTTCTCCTGTGGCACCCTTCGAATGTCGCCTAATTCACCTCTTTTATAAAAATCAGAATCGTGAGAACAGATCTAATAGAACGATTAGCAAATAATAAAAACTATTTGCCGCGTAAAAAAACGGCAATCAATTCTAAGTCGGGTAAACAGGGCAGGTGATATAAAAGACACAAACGCAAATCTTGGAAACTTTTTGCGATATTCATTAGAAATACTTTCTCTGAAATCCGATTTGCAGAAGAATTAGTTTCCTTCACACCCGGGTTAGCAATAAAAATGAGTGGTGTTAGAAAGGAAATTATTGATCATTGACCATCACGGAAAATTCTTAATCAGCAGGTTAGCAGGAGGACAAATTGGAAATAGGTTGGGACAAAAAGGGGAGGAAACATTGAGTAGCCACTAGTGTCAATTTTCCATTAGTTCTTTCACCACTCAACGACAAGCCAAAAATTCAATTGCTCCAATTTAATTCACTCAACCACCTCTAATTCAAGTTCACATCAATAATGCTAATAATTGAGAGAGAAGTGCAGGGTTTGGTCGCAGAAAACGGGGTCAGAAGCCGTTGAATAACCGACCGTCACTTGAATTGATACGGCAAAAAATGCATTTCACATGCGGGTATGTAATAAAAAAAATTCACAACCACTAACGACCAGCTAAATTTATCTTTTAATCTTCAGCCTTTAATGGACATCAATAATTCTGAGAAATAACGGGAAACGGGCTCTTAGATGAAAGGCCGCGGTCAGCTGGGAAATAGGAATGTCGCCGCGATAGATGGAATAAAATATGGCTTTATGAGCTGGTAATGTGATTACTATCTCAATTAGCGACAGCCAAATGCTTCTTGCTGATAAGTAGAGTGTTAAAAATATTCAAACAGACGGCAAGAAAAAGAAAAAACAGAAAAAATGAAGAAAAAACTGCACTGCTTTTAACCGGATCAAAGAGAGCCTAAGTATGGTTTAAATATCTGACTGGCATTTTTCTCCAATTTGGCCTCCTTGAATCAATTCAGCCTGGTCTATCTGCTTTACATGCCATCATTCAGGCGCCTTCTTCTACCAAGTCAAAAAAAGTCCCTTTAATGTTAGATACTTAATACACAAATGCGCGTTGAATTTCTCACTAGTAGCCCAAGGTTACAAAGGGAACTGAATTTCTCAGGCCAGTTAAATTCCGGGTTTAGAAATTAAATCCGTGGCAACGTCATGACAAATTTGGGAAAAAAATGAGGCGAAATAAAAAATTTTATGTAAGCGGAGATGAAACACGCCTCGATTGAGCCCTCGTGTTAGTACCAGGGCTAAGAAGGGTATAAAATAAGGTCTCTGATCCATAAAAATGAAGTAAAATGAAAGCAACGCTTTTATCCACATCCCATATTTTAGGTAGTTTTAAGCCTCTGCAAATAGAAGTAAATGATGGCGCGTTCAGAACTATTCGGCTCGGAATTGAGTAATGTGCAATGAAAACTGCAGACAGACTTTTGAAAATCTAGATTGAACTGAAAATGGGCAGAAAAAGTGGAGCCAAAAAGCGTGAAAGATCGATGCGCTAGACATACTGAATACTGAATGCACTTCTAAGCTAACGCCAGCAAGTAAGGGTAGGTGAAAATTCCGATGGGTTTCTACAGGAATTGTTCTGATCCTAGCTATTGTTTGCAAGAGCAATCAGGCAGCAGTGGCGGTCGACTTTGCAGATTGGGGAAATGAGCTTTAATTAGGAGCAGTTCTTCAACAAATAGCTGGAAGCAAAGTGGTTGATAACACAAGGGCTGATGAGGTCTAAGTTATCCTCGCATGGCTTACAACCCCAGAGAATTAGACAACTGCACTAGCTATGCTAATTTGAACTTGCGTGGGAGAGTCTTTAGACAATAATGATGCAATGGAAGGTCATGCAGTTAGTCTTGAAAAATGCCGATTGATAAATATAGATGCATGTATTCATTATTTTTCATTTTAACGACCTACTCAACGGAAGAACACATTCACAAAAACAATCCAATGAATTTATTGAAGTGTTGAGTAGAATCAGAGATTTTAAAATTATGACAAAAGTTGAAATATAACTATTAGCCTAGCATAGTTCGACCAAATATTTCGGCACAATTTTTTTAGAACTATTTTGTTACTGGTCTCACCACTGCGAATTTCTCTCCATGTCGAACCGAGAATTTTGCCATGTTCAACAACAAGTTTAACTCGTCGTTTTTCCCGAGAAAAACTTATATAATTGATAAATATACTTTTGCGATCCCAATTACCAAGGGCTTTAATATGATGACAACTTGACAGCATGAGCGGTCTACGAGGTACCTAATAACATCCGAAAACCAACAAAAAATAACTCCTACTCTACAACAGTGAACGTAACGAAAAACAAACACTTTTCAAAAGTTATCAGCCATTGTATATGCTTCACGCATGTTTGAGGTGGATTGTATGCTTTCTAAATTTCTAAATAGAAAAAAATAATTCTTTAACCTGAAAAATTTTGATGCTTTTGTTGTGGATTTACAGCACGGCTGAAGGGTTGATTAGTCCCTTTCAACATTCAATAAAATATTTTCCAGTTATTAAGACAGTTGTGAATCACAAAAACAATTGCCATGAACAAAGGTTTCATTCTTTTTCTCTTCAAAGAATTTCCACAGCGTGACAAAGAATGTTTCACACTTCTGAGTGACACATCTTAAAATTATATGTTGACGAAGAGGCGAAGCAGAACTTAAAATCGCCAGCGACACAAGGCAAGCGTATAATTGCAGATCAGCGAATAAAAAATGAGATTGTCGGAAAATATATTTGAAAAACTTGATTTTTTGAAAGAACATTTTTTCTACTTATTTCGCTAGGTAATTATTTAACCAATGAACAGTTTTTGCCGCTAAAACGACACAAAATAATTTTAAACGATACCAAAAACTAAATTGAAAACTTCCAAATCCGTGTTTTTTTTATATAAAAATGAATACTCTAATTGCATTTCGAAGATAATTCAAGACAGCAAGTGTATGTTAAAAATAAGTTCTCAACAAAAATTTATATTATAACTTTTTTTAAGCAATCGCAGTTTGTGTAGTTGCAAATAGTTATCAGGGAAGGGCTAAATTAAATAAATTTGAACTTTTTCCATTTAAAAGCGTACAATAGGTTGTCATAGTGTAATTGTCATTAAATAATAAAAAGCAATTTTGAAATTTTATTATAATGTTTCTAAAAGTATCATCTGAAGATATTCGTTGATGAATATTATTCCATAATATAACTGATCTTATGAAAATTGAATTTTCAATGTGTTCACCATTATATCTTTAAAAAATATAGTTTTTTCTTAAATTTACTGGAAATTACTTGTTTTTATAAAACATTTTGTCTTTATAAAACATTTCATAAAATCATTTATTCAAAAAAAACAGCAATTTCCAATCAAGAAATATGGAAGTTGGTTAAAAAATTAGACTTAAGCTTCATATCGGACGATGAATCAAAATTTGCACAGTTGCAGCATCTTTTAATTGCCCATCTTAACTGTTTTTCAAATGAAATGGTTTGACTTGAAGAAAATGGACTGAGAATTTCGATGACTAATAACAAGTGCTTTCATAATTAAAACCCTTGTTTTGAAAACTAATCGAAAAATATTCCAAGATATTCAATTTCAGATTTATCTTTGATTCAATTTACTGTCTAACAAAATTGTTTCTCAACTTTTCTTGAATTTTTTCGACTGAAATTGATAAGTTCTGTTTTCTTGGCATTCAGCTTATGAGAATGGCATTGGAAGTATTGAGATATTTTAGCAGCTTTTTTCCAAACTTTGAAAAGCCAAGCTAACACGATGTTCACAAAAGAGTAATTGGTTGTCGGCGTATTGAAATACTCCACAGGAGCCAGGTAGTTGCTTTATTTTAAAGAAAACTAGAAGCAAGTGGTCCCAATACAGTAACCTGTGGTACCCCTGATGTAAGAAAATCCAATTTGACTCAATTTTATTCTGTTGAAAATTGCTTTTGAAAGCATTTGTCAACTTAATTGCACTCTAGGAGAAACCTAACAATTCTGATTATTGTTTGAGAACTGGTGATCAGTAGAAGCAATGCTTCGGGTAGGTGTAAAAAACCATGCATCGCATTTGTATTCGTCAAAATCATTTCTGAACTATTCTGAGAAAATTAAGATAGCGTCGATTGTTTTGAATAGGAAGAGAAGCTCATTTATTAAGAGTAGAAGTTTTTCGAAAAGTTTTTTAATAGTACTCTAGTTACCGAAAATGGTTTGTAGTTCTTCTGGATCGCCTTTTGAATATTGATGTGACCATTGCTTTTTGAGTGATTCTGGGTATTGACTTTTATTTTGGAATTCATTTAGAAGAAACGACAGATGCATGCAGATTTTATTTTTTCAGAGCCATCCTGGAAGATCAGATAGATCTGGTGATCTCTTGGTATTAAAGATCAGCGTTATTTTTATATTCGTGGTTTGTGAAAAACCTGAATAAAATTCGTTTTTTTAAGGTTCTTAAAAAGTCTAGGATACTTTGTTTTTTATCAAAGAAACAACCTGGTCTTAAAAATTCATAGTCTAAGAGTTTTACCATTTTCGTTATTGCTTCTCCGAAAGAGTTCTAGGAAATTGTTATTTGATAATTTCTTTTTACTTCTTGTGTCACTGAGAATGTTTCATATTTGGCGTTGTCTTTTTTATT